TGACTGGCTAGTAGATAGCTGCGATCGGGTTCAGCTTAGGCGTTGGCAAAGTCGATGCCCTTCTGGATGTTCTTCTTCAGCTCGGGAATGGCAGCCTCCAGTAGTTTCTTTTCGTAGTCGTTCAACTTGGGCAGTCCCAGGTTCTCTTGCAGACCAGTCTTACCCAGCACCAGGGGCGTGGAGAAGAATGTCGCCTCCGTAATATTGGACTGCACGTATGAGCACTCGATGACGTTCTTATCGCCGTTGAGTCCCTTGAGCAGGGAGCCGGCAAAGCGGGCGCCAGCGTAGGCCATCGACAAGGTGGCAGATCCAGCGCCAGCCTTTGCCTTAACCACCTCGGTGCCGGCCTCCTGGATGCGTACGGTCAGCTTCTCGATGGCATCCTGGTTGCCCTTGAACTGAGGCTGGCTCTGCGACAGCACTGGCAGAATGGTGACACCGGAGTGGCCGCCAATAACCGGAATCTGCACGCTCTGGGGATCAACGCCGAGGGCGTGGCCAATAAAGGCACGGGCACGCACCACGTCCAAAGTGGAAACGCCAAACAGACGCTTGGGATCGTACACGCCGGCCTGCACAAGCACAATTAGTTGCGGTGTTTGTTTTATTATTGTCAAGCATTGTTTACCTTCTTCAGAATCTCGGCAGCAATTGGCACACAGGTGTTGACGGGATTCGTGATAATGGCGACCAGAGCCTTGGGGCAGTTCTTGGCAATCGCATTGGAAATATCCTTAATGATGCCGGCATTAACATTGAACAGATCATCGCGAGTCATGCCAGGTTTGCGGGGCACACCAGCAGGGATGACAACAACATCGGATCCTATTCAGAAATAATTCATATTATGGATTAATTATTAAATACACAAGATTCTGCCTACAGAAAAGACAAGAGTACTCCGCCCGACTAGGAGATTTTGCTTCTTCACAAAGCCTCACATAATGGGAAATTCTTTATTTTGGGTTTTTATTATCCGATCTTGATAAAAATTGTAGGACACAAATATAGCCGCTAAAGTTGTGCAAAAATTAAAAAAATAATAAGCTTAAAAATCCGGATTTTGATATCATTTGTACCGATTTCATGGAAATGGAGAAATGTACATCGATTAAGTCTCTAGCTCATGGTTTCCGAGATCTAGGCGCTCATAAGTACGGACGGACAGATGGACATGGCTAGATCGACTCGGTTATTGGTGCTGATCATGAAAATATATACGGTACACAAATAGATGCATTAAATGAAAAGCTGTAAATAAAAGCACTTTGATCTTTTGTATTATGCTCCAAAAAGTAGCTACCGTTAAGAGGTGATAAGTTGCTGCACTGATTACAAGCCAGTTTATTAGCCAGTTATGAATACCAATAAACGTCTCCCTTATCAGACGACTTGCTCTTATCAGCCGAAATTTGCCAGCACATTCAAATATTAATATATGTATATGCATAAGTAATTCTGATCTTTCTTAATTCAAATCTTTAAGCAAATCACATGCATGTTTCATAAAAAATAATGTGTGCCAATTTGGTAATTTTCCACTTGGAGTATTAAACCTAACCTCACTTATTGCCCTCCTCCACTCACCCTTCAGCGATGCGCCCAATTGATCGGCACCCATAAATCCTTCCGTCTTGCTCTTGGTATCGATATGAGATAGATCGGCGGCAACACCGGGCGTGTGCACAATATCGTAGAGCGACAGATCCGTGACCAGGGGATTTTGCTTGAGCAGCAGCGACAGCGGCTGGCCGATGCCGCCGGAGGCGCCGCATACGGTCACCTTATAGTTGTTCTGCCAAAAAGGAAAATATATGCAAATATCAGTAAATGTACTTAAAGTAAGCTCTAAGTTAAAAATTTGTATCAGTGCCTTGCATAAAGAACGGTTTATTTAGATCGACCATTTTCTCTTCATTACGTAAACCGCAGAAGTCAGAATAGGGAAAAAAAATGTTGCGGCGACTTTTAATTTTGTTTGTTGCTTACCTGTTGGCTGACCGAAAAGTTGCGCACGCCCTGCAGTGCCAATTGTTTGGTTACTTGCTTCAACATTTTATTTTGTTTTTTTTTTTATAAAAATTGTTCAATCAATTTGGTAGGCTAAACAATAAGCAGCTGCGCAGCTTGCAAAATCCCAATAGCTATTCGCGAAAAGCTTTCGGCCAACCTGGCGCAAGGTTAAATACTGTAAAACTGTATTTTGTGCTTTCGGCAGCTGTTGCGCGCAGAGCTGAACGGTGCTGCCAACTGATTTGTGGAAAAGCGCGCGAAAGCTTTTGTTTGAAGCTAAGCTTTTTGAAATATATTTGGATAACTGTTGAATTTGTTTTTGTTCGATAGACATATACTGAGTAAAATTTGCATTAATTAAAAGTGCTGCATACGTAACTCAACCTGTAGGGAAATGCAGGCCCGCCGCTCCGCTTTGAGCTCCTTGGCCAGCATTTTCTTTTTGTGCTCCAGCAGCGCATTCTCTCGCGTATAATGTTCAATTATGCGTTCGTAGTCACCCTCTGGAGGGAGCTGTTCCTGACATATAGGTACTGGAGCTTGTGGCTTTAGCGCTTCCTGTTCATACAACTGTTTCAAGCGAAAGATCTCGTTGCGCTCGGCAAGAATACGCGCTTTGAGCTCGCTTTGCCAGATAATAAGCTCGTCGTATTCCATTTGCAGCCGAAGCAGCTCGTCACGCTGTGGATTTGTCTTCGGCAACAGCAAATAGCCTGTCTGTTTGTCGATGGTGTATTCAACCGGGTTTGGTGGTGGGGAAGGAGCAACACCGGGATCGCCAGGTTGTTGGTCCGAGGTGTTTATTTGCGACGGCACGGACTTTGAGTCGACGGTATCCTCGTTGATATTGTTGGCTGTTGGGACTGTTGGTGGGACTGCTTGTTGAGCTGCTGCTTGTACAGAGGCTACGGAGGTGCTGGCCTCCAGCTCATCTATGGACTTCTCTTGCTTCTTTTCACAGCTTCTTAGTTTGCGTTTTAGTTGGGTGATAATGCGTTGAACCTCCCAAAGCTGCTCCTCACGTTTCTTGCTGATGAAGCCCGCATTCATTTCGCTATGTATTTGGGTCAGGAGACTGTCCTGCTTCCGTAGCTCCGTTTGTATTTCTTCCGGGGTATCCGGTAGACCGGGACTGGCCGAGGTGAGTGGGGGAACATATCTGCAAGAGACGAAAACCTTTACTTGGAAATCTCTCAATTTATTCGGGCTGATGGCTGCCTTAACAAAAAGCTGACAATTCGCTGAAAACGATTTCGTTTACGCGGTACTACGCTCATGTCTTCCTTAAAGTGTTCAAGAGATCTATCAGCGTGCGGGCACGCTGCTGCTGCGCTGCTGTAATCTAATCTGGTCAATGTTTACTTACTTTATCAACTTTACGTCCGAAAAGAGATTCGCGCAGTGGCGTAAGAGCGCAACCATCAAGCGGTGTGACATCTGCAGCGTTGGGCTCAGCAGCATGGCCAGCGATTGGGCATTGAGTTTGTTGTAGCGCTCCTTTTGTATGACTGAGTCAAAGTGCAAGATTACCCAGGCCAAGAGTGTACGATTACATTTTGGCAACTGTTCTAGAAGTTCTTGCAGCTCCGCCTGCTGCTTGGTGACTTTGGAATGCGAGGCCACCTCCTCGAAGCGTGCAATCAAATCTGTGGTCAGCACCGGTTCCGGCAGCTCGCGAAAAAACAATTTGATCAAACTGCAGGCGGTCGGTACATTTAGCTCGTCCACAGATGCATCGTACTCGCGATTGTTGTACAGCCGTTTGTAGTGCGCCATACGCGTCTTGAAGGGCTCAACTTTGTAAATATGATCGCACTTGAGCGACTGTTCCTGTTGCAGGTAATCGATGCAATCGCGCACGACCAGCGGAAGATCGACGCCGTCGTGGCAACGGGAGCGCTCAGTGGCCAGACTGATGGAAACACCAAAGATCGGATATCCAAGTGCCAACTCTTCTTCAACGCTGTTGCTGTCCTCTAGTTGCGATTGTTTACCCTTTTTATCCTTTTTATCTTTCTTATCGGACTTGTCTTTCTTGTCCTTCTCCTTGCGCTCCTTATCCTTCTTTTTGTGATCTTTTTCGTCATGGTGTCGTTCTTTCTCTTTTTCCTTTTCCTTTTCCTTGTCTTTTGTCTTTTGTACTGGATCCTCCTCTGGACCTTTTGGCTCCTTTTCCTTGTCGCGCGATTTTTCGCGCTTTTCCTTACTCTTTGAGCTCGTAAATTTAAAAGTTTTTGACTTTTTTGACTTGGAGGGACTCCTGTGGCGATACAAATATGAGCTTGTGGTGTTCTTACTGGGACGGTTCCATCGTACTTACTTAGTGTCCAGCTCTTCTTCAGGCGAACTTTCACCTTCTAGAGCAGCATAACCGCGATCTTTGCCCTTCTCTTTCTTATCCTTACGTCGTCCAATGAGCAGATCTTTCTTGCTGTGCTTGTCATGGTCACCATCACTAACTGGCCAAACATATACAATTAATTTGCGGTCGCGCCATTTTAGGTCTTAAATATACTCACAATCGCTTTCCTCTTTGCTCTTCTTGGACTTGGCATCAACCGCTTCAGATGCATATAAACCGGGAAACTCCTTTTCCTCTGGACTATCAAAATCCATACTGTTGTGGCAACTAGCTTAAATAAATAAATAATTAAAATCAATGTGTTTACGCCATCTGCAATCAATAAACAACGTAGATGCGCAACACATATTCGATTGTTCAATCGATTAAATTGAACGGAGCTGCCAACCTGTTGCAAAAGCGGCCTGCAAGTCGGTATGCACAACGTAACTTTTGTAAAACAGCTACAAGCAAGGCGAAAGTATTAAAAAATAACAATTTTGCTTTTATAAATCATATGAATGTTTATGTTTTTCTCAATCTGAATTTTTCATACATTTATCAGCAGTGTGATAAAATATGCACAAATAATTGTGATGTTTTTTTTATTCCGTAATGAGCTGCATACTATTAAGCAAAATAAGCAAATGTAAAAAGATTTGTTTACCTTTTGTATGAAAACATTTTTTGATTTTCATACTTTGTGTTTATTTTCGAACAAAAACATTATGTCTTCTGTGCGTTTGAGCCAAGTGGAACGTGACCATTTGGCGCTGCTCCAACGCCCGGCCAACGAAGTTTTGGAGCTATGTAAGTCGGCATTCGACTATCTCGTAAACGGACCTAACACGGACCGCTACGACCTGCTGGCCAAGAAGTACGCCGGCGATGTGAATAGCGAGGCAGTGCAGCGGGCGGTGGAAGCGTTAGTATCGCTGCTAATTCAAGTTACCACGAAGACTGGAACGAACGGCGAGCAAGTAAACATACGCCAGATATTTCCTAATCTCAGCGACGATGTTCTTGAGGTGCTAGAACAGTTCGTGACCAGTAAGCGGAGTTTCGTGGAAGGCTCCATTAAGTCGGCCAACATCCGTGCCTATCGGCTGGTCAACCTAGACTGGCGTCTGGAGGTGCGCACGGCATCTCGCTGTCTACTGCAACAGTCGAATGTGGTGATAACAATGAAGCTGTACCTGCACACAGAGCCGAAGAACGAAAATCGAGAGCTGCTTGAAATAGACACGTCCGATCGTAGCGAGAAGGAGCTAAGTGTGATGCACGAGGATGAGCGGCGGCATCGCAAGGATCTGGTAGTGCAAACGGATGTCAGCAGCTTAGTCTACTTAATCAAAACGCTTGAGGATGCCTTGGCCGAGTCCAAGACGCGTCGCATTAAGAATATTGTCAATGCCATACACTAAGAGTAAATAAGATATTAGCTGTTAAGTCAAGATATTAACTATATTTTAAGCTGGACCAATTTATTGCAACTACAACTAACTAAAACCTAAAGCAACTGCTTGTGACTCAATCGGTTGCCGCCAAAGCCTCAGCTGCGGCCGCTTTAAGTGCCACCTTCTTTTTCTGGCGATCAGTGCGCTTTTCCTCAGGCGACTTCTTGAGGGCTTTCACACGACGCGTCTGTATTGAGCCCGTTTGTTGCTTGCCCAAATGCACGCGTCCCTTTGTATTGCCCAGCGCATCTGTGCTCATATTCTTCTTTTTGGTAACTCTCAGCTGCTTGGGCTGTTTTCTGGCCAGTTTGTACAGATCTTCAGAGGCAATTTTGGTGCGACGAATGGAGAAATCAGCCGATGGTCCGATCTCTTCCAGCTCGATACGTGGCGTCTTTTGACCAGACTTCTTTAGCAATATCTTATAAGAACGCATCAGAACACTCATATCGTCGGTGACCGTGAAGCTAAGCACATGCTCCACGCCTTGTAGCCGTATGGACTCGACCTTTTCGCGGTGAAACATGTCAATAAACAAACTACGCAGACGACGTAACTCCTCCGTTTGAGCCCATTTCGGGCCGTTAAATACCAGACAGGGCTTGACACAGGCGCCAATCTTCTCCGTTTTAAATTCGGCAATTGCCTGATAACGCTTTATGCCCAGCTCAAACATGTCAAGTACTTCGTTTTCGAAAATCCGGCCAATGATTATATTGTCCGGGCGTTTCTTTGACGTTGAGCCAAAAGTGAAGAGAGCCGCATCGTTTTTCATTGTCAAGCTGCAAAGGAATCATCAAAATCGTATGCAGTGTAATTTTAAGTACATTTACTTACAACTCCAATGAAGACGGATCATCAAAGGGCGTTATGTCGTTTTTGCGGTGTAGGACTTTAACCAGCGGCTTCTTCAGCTGCTGAAGATCCTTCATGCACTGCTTTACGTTACCAGCGCATTTTCGTCCGTCCACAAACAACATAGTACGCGCCGACTCAATGAGCTGCGGCTCACGGGCCAGCAACACTTTCTTTCCTTTGCGGGTTTTGGGTTTCCTGCAAAAAAGAAATATACGCGAAATGAGCGATGGCACTAGCGGTGATGCTGATGCAGAACTTACCTGATCATTAAAAGCGACATCTTAAATGTATTAGTTATTCAAATTTAAAATTACTTCTCAAAATGCATGAAACGCACGTGTAGCGTTCTTCTGGTAATGCCAACTGGTTGCAATTTGGCAGCGCTGGCAGCACACGTAGCTTGGCAGCACTATGTCCAGTGTTGCCAATTAAGCCACTTTCTAGCTAAATTTGGCGTGTTGAGAGGCATTAACCGAAAACAGTTAAAATATTTAACTGATTTCATAGTTTCTGGCATCTGCCTATTTATGGCAGATTTGTGCACAAAAAGCTATTCAGCTACTTTTGGCTATTTTTAATGTTTAATTATTTACCTACTTTTTTGAAGCGGCGTTAGCAACACTGGCTGTGTCAGCTGTTGTGTGTTGGCATTAAAATCAATCGACTGTTGTTTGCATCTCATCTGTTGCATGTTGCGGTTCAGTTTCGACCAAATGTGCATTAAAATGACATAAAAATGTTGCGAGGTAGTCAAAGCCAAGCACTGCTGCTGGCACGCAGCTTTTATTATATTGCGCGAAGTTTGGCGACTGTAAAAAAGGCAGCCAGCACAGAAGGAAAAGCCAAGTCTACAAAGTTAAGCGGATTAGAAGTGCCAACGGAAGAGTCTTTGAATCCCAACTATTTGGCGCGAACGTTGGGTGAGCAATCACAACTAAAACCACAACTTTTTGCTTATAGTACTTTTAACTTTAAAGGCAGCAACTATCGCACATGGGCCGCAGCACTGGAAAAACACCCTGAGCTGAAAACCGTCAAGCGAAAGGATCTACTCAATTCCTTCGACACATTGAAATCGCTGAAGTATAGCGTGGATGACATTGTCACGAAGCCCATGATCATTTATTACGGCGCCTCGACGCTATTCAATCGGCATAGTGTGCTCATCGAATGCGGCTTCCAGAATGTCACTATTCCGACATTGTTCAAATACGTAACTGTTATCAACAAGCCGATAGATATGCTCAAGGGACACAGCTATATACCCTACGATGTGAATGTGTCGCAGCGTCTTACTGCCTGCTTGACGGATGTCCAGCTGCCCAACAATGGCCAATTGATAGAAAGCGTCGACGAAAGCATCAGCTTAAAGATGCTAAGACAAACGATACTCAATGCCTATCTGCGCGAACGTCTGCAAATGGACGATGCGGACCTGCAGAAGCTGTGGCGCGTCTATTCGCGTGTTCGTCATAAAAGCTTCCGATCCGTGCAGGATATTATCGAGCTGTTGACTACGGTGTTTAAGTTTCCGTTGGAACGGTTACGAAAGAATAGTTTCCTGCTGCACGCGGATGCAGACAATGTGCGTCGCATTCTTCAGGAAATACCCACAATAAATGGCCAAGACATACGCGACATTGGATATCGCCGGCCAAAAATCCTAATGTCCACTTGTGATGGTCTCAAGCAGACGCTGCAGCACGTGCGCTCCTTTGGCATTGGCGAGGATGCTGTGCTGCGCTGTCTCGAGGTGCTTACCCTAGGACCAGATACGGTTTTGGAGCGTCTGCGCGACTTAAACGAAATCGAGGAGTTTCAGGTTCTGGGCAGCAATCCGCGCGTACTCCGCCTGGTGCATTATCAGAACAAAGCTCGCCTGCGTCTAGACTATTTGAATCAGCTAAAAGTGCGCTGCGCCTCATTGCATATATTATCATGCGGCTCGGAAATCTTTGCCAAGTAAGTGTAGCTGTCGATCAATTAAACATAATTTAATTTGATTTTTCTCTCATAGATTTGCACGCGACGGCTCAGATCGCACGAAGGGTCGCGACATTGTTGTTTATCTGGGAAACATTCTGCTAAAGGATGAGCACGTGCTGCGCAATCTGCTGTCGCGGCATCCCAACTGGTGTCATGTACCCGTACTGCATGTCAAACAATGCCTGGAATACTTGCTTAGCAAGAGATTTAAGCTCAACGAGATCTTCAATAACATTCACCTGCTTTTATATCCAATGTAAGTAGAGATGATTGCTTTTTGGCCCAACACGTTTTGATCTGTTTGTTTGTTGTATTTTAGAAAACGCATTGAAGAAAAATTGTTGCAATTACAAGCTGCTGAGGCTATGGAAGAGCTACAGCTGCCTGTCGCCGATGTGCACGCTCTTAGCAACAATGAGATTTTAACGCTGATTTTATATCTCATCGAATCGGAATTCCATTTCACTGGAGATGGCATTTGGACGGAGCAGCATACGCATCACGTGGAGAATTTTAATAATCTTTTGCCCGACTTTCCGGAGAGCCTCAACAAAGTGTACAAATATGGCGTGCGGCCATCAGAGAAGCTGTCCATGCATCATTTGTAAATGAATTGTAAATATTTTGAAACTATTAATTTATAATTACTGGGATCTTCTTTTCTATTAAACCTTTGTCTGAACCAATTCATTTATTTAGGCGAAGAACTGTTACATCAATGATTCATTGGCCATTTGTAAAGAATACTATTAAAACGTAGATTTTAATACCATTAATTGTGAATAAAATCAATGGAAATGTGTACACCTGAGTAATAAATATATTTAACATCATTTTGGTCCTAGATACACTATATCTGCCGCTGTATTGCTTAAATATAGTTAAGTCTAGTTTTGCTGAGGTTTGCTACTTGTGCTTTGCTCCGCAGAAGGCGTCTCCGTCTCTTCGTCATGACGCACAATGTAGGAGTTGTATTTAAGGGATATGTTTCGGGTTTTCTCCAGCACTTCAGTGTAGGCGGCGGTCAAGGGCTTTTGTACAGCGTCTTGATGCTTATAATTCTCATCCTAGAAACAATTAAGTCATAATTGGTTTAATTTTTAAAGTAACTATTGATTTTACCAATTCGTAGCTGAGATCCGCATCATATTCGCATTGGTGTGCCACAAATGGCAAGTGTACGACGTTATAATCTACTATTCCTGAGATGTTTCTCAACGCCTCATCGGGCTTATCAAACCATTCTAAAATCAGATTGCATGGCACATGACCCTCGGGCATGGTGAATTGTCGACATACTACAAATGCTTCAATGCTGGAGTTGCGCGATGCGGATGGCTTGAAGAGGCACACATCCTTAAAGAAGCGCTGCAGCTGCAAGTAGACGCCACTGGTGTTGGCTGCTCGATACACCTTGCCCATAAACGCACCGCCCTCTTCGAGGATGTAGGTCGAAATGCTCAGAGCTGATAATAAGAGCTGCGCCTGCATATAGGCATCCCAATCGTGCATGCCCGTGACATCTGGAGCCCCATCGCTGACAACCAGTTGCGCCTTTTTGCCATCAAAGAACTTAATAATTGCCTCCGCTGTTGACTCTTTGGTAATGTCTTCGCGCAACTGTGTGACCCCATCAATGGGTGCCATGCCCTGCATGTCCACTGCAATGATCTTCACCTGCTCCCGTTCTTCGGGCGTACGCGGCTCGTACATGCGCTTGGACAGAACCTGTGACCAGCCACCAGGGGCAGCGCACAAATCAACAGCACGTGTTACGCCTGAGAAGGATTTAGCATTTAATTATTAAACACGTTTTGATAATGTGTTGGTGGAATTCTCACCCTCTAGTAAATTAAACGTTTCGTCCGCTTGAAGCAGTTTGAATGCACTTCTGGCGCGCCATCCCTGCTCCTTTGCTAATCGGTAAAAAATGTCTCGCTTATCCTTTGATGATTTACCCATATTAATATTATATCAAGCAATGTTTATATATTTTATATTTATATATTGTCCAAGATCACGACAAAAAGTTAATCTCTAATAAGAAATTGGATCTTTTAAAATTACAGTTCAATGTTACATTTAGTTCAGAATATCTATCGAAGAATATCGATAGGTAGTAAATATAGGGAAGCATTTTCTATATGTATTGATTTTAAATATAGTCAGTTTCTTATTGGAGCTTCTTATTGGAGCCATTCATTTATGTATATTTATGTATGTCTCAAACCTTTATTTCAAAGTATTACGCACTTTCTGTATGGTATGAATTAAATCTTCGACGTGGGAAAAAAGTAGACAGCAGTCAGGTTAGAACACTATTCATAAGGTTACATTTAGAACGCGTCGAATGTATGTTTGTAAGTATTTAAGCATGTATAAATCATCATACAAACAATTTAAAGAAAAAAAAATCATAAAGTTACAATAATTTTTTTAATGTATATATTCTTTTATTTTCAGTTTAAGTTAAGCATCTTTAAGATTTATTGTGGCTGCAAGGCAACTATTTATATTCTAAATCTGCATTGGATCTTATATTGGCTTCATGGATGTGTCTCAACGTACAGCTTACGGTATAAAATGTTAACTGTAACCGCTCTGCTTTTGCGGGGTAAGCAGTGTAGCGCTTTGTTATGAGTTTGCGGTTTGTGTCATGACTAGTGGTAAAATATTTAGATGAGGTAGAAGTTACCTACAGTTTGTATAACAGATCTTTCTTTCCAGAGTTTTATTTTATGAAATTATTATTGTTTTGAAATTATTGATTCTTGTTTTCTCTTAAACTTCTAGTTTTACTTTAAACATAAACTTTAAAATAAGAATTTCATATGTAATTTTATGATTCGTTCTTCTTGATTCGAGTAGGATATTCTCGGATTGTTCTCTCTGTGTACTTGTTGATGTTATATGTAGATATCTGCCGTTTAGTGCTTTTACCCTAGTTTAATGGCACTACGACCACGCGAGGTAAACAGCAATAATAGCAACAAAAAGATGTCTTTCTCTCTAATGTCTCATAGTAAATTTTATTCATAGCCCCTCTTCATATTTTGCTTATACCCGAAAATTGTAGCTTTCTACTTTAAAGCCACATTTTAAAAAGACTCCCAACTGTGCATATAATATATATTTAACATTTTAACTATAACAGAAGGTAGCTACCAGCCAAGCACGCGCCCAAATTCATTCTTTGAATAATGAATAAATAATAAATAATAATAAATAATAAATAAATCAACTTTCACCCATACTTTCTATAACAGACATGTCCTAAATGAAGTCTTTAAAAATGAGCTTGAGCCCGAAACTTCTCCCTCTCAACCTTTGACACGAATTTTTCATCTAAGAGGAGTGTATTTTGCGATACTTGTGAAACACGTCTCAAATGAATTTGAACAAAGATCTTTGATTATAAATATATTTTCTTTAAGATCTTTGCAAACTAGCTTATACCCGAAACTTCATCCATTTAACCATTTCCAATCCACAGGGGTGAATTTTGGGAAAGTGTGAAATACTTATTAAATGCATTTTCACACAGAGAGAGAGAGAGAGAGAGAGAGAGAGAGAGAGAGAGAGAGAGAGAGAGAGAGAGAGCGAGAGAGAGAGAGAGAGAGAGAGAGAGAGGGAGAGAGAGAGAGAGAGAGAGGGAGAGAGAGAGTGCGTTGATCTTTGGGACAAACAGTTTTGCTGGATATGTAGTTTTTCAAGATATCTTCAACAATCTCCGGAATTACCAGCTTTACGGCTCTCCTCACATATCTGCAAAGCCGTAAGCCATTTGTCTATAAGACGTAAACGTTCTATCTGGTTGCTTCATTTCTTTTTTTTATGGCTCTTCAAATTTCTGCTCAGACTTATATGTATAACAAAGTTTAACATATGCACAAACACGACTATTTTTCTTAATTGTGGTTTCAAAGAAGTTTTGTTGTTATCAACCAGATATGGCGAGTGTGGGTTTGAATAAAATTTACCATGAGCCTTTAAACTAAAGAAAAACAAATGAGATTTCGCTAGACGAGAGTGCCCGACTAGGGGATACCCTGGATCTTTTGCAACCAACATCGCATTATGGGGTACCTATGGGTAATGGGCTATACTTGCGTTGGTAAAAATAAGTAATACAAAAAAATTAGTTCTTACTTCCGGCGTCGAACTCGTAACCACCTTCAACAGAGCGGACTTTTTGCCATCGCCTCAAACCTTAAAGGAATAGTAAGTAAAATCTATTACTATATATAAAACAAAAAGACACATGCATACAGAAATTATTGACATTTGCGACTGCTACCAAGTTTGCTTGAAAAACTTCTGTGATTCTTAGCCGATCTTTGTGAACTATCTCTTGCCTAGGGCACAATAAGATCCTGTTTATACTCGCAAAAAGACAACAGCATAAAAAGTTCTAATTTGTCTTTTTATTTATATAATTTTGCATAATAGGGGAGATGGCGGGTCGATTACTAGGAAAAGGGAGCAAATTATGGAAGATCGGAAACAAGCTGTGAGTGCACCAGGATACCCTTCATTCCAAATTTCAGGTCTGTAGCTTTTATAGATTCTGAGATTGACGCCTTAATAAAAACGAACATGGCTAGATTGACTGGACTTTCGATGAATATAAATACTTTATAGGATATGGTACACTTTATAGGGTCGGCGATGCTTTTTTCTTTTGCCTGTTACATACCACAGCACAAAACCAATATACCCTTTCCGAGTATTTTCAAAGGGTGCAGAGCATAAAAGCTAAACCGCAAACATCTACATATAACGAAAATGAGATTCTAAATGCAATTTCTCTAGCTTTCAGATTGTAGTATAAAAAGAGGGATAAAAAAGTATAAAAAGGCCTCGTTTAGCTGTTTTTTGGGATAGTTATTGAATAGGTTTTGAATAGGAATCAGTATGTTTGCGACTCCACTGCGGCAGGTCAGGAGCCAGAAAGGGGCAGAGCTGGAGCAATCGCAAAGATACAAGATACTCAACAAGGGCTACGGCAAGGATGCGGTCAGGTTGATGTATGTCAATCGGAGCGGTTCGGTGCACAGCATTCAGGAATTCGAGCTGAGCACGCACCTGAAGCTGAGCAGCAGCAAGGACTATCTGCAGGCGAACAATGCGGATATTATTGACACCGATGCGCAAAAGAATCTCGTTTTCATTCTGGCCAAGCAGCATGGCATCGAGGGTCCCGAAAAGTTTGCCCTGCTCGTGGCCAGGTATTTTCTAAGCAAATATTCGCACGTGGAGGAGGTTCATATGCACATGGAGACATATCCCTGGCAACGCATACGCACGACGGACGACTCCAAGCTGGGCGAGAACAAATCTTGTCTCCGTACAGGAGACAGTTCCCAGCTGCACAATCACGCCTTCATCTTTCAGTCCGAGGCGCAGCATTTTTGCGACGTCATCCTCACGCGTCAGGGTAGGTGGAAATCCGACTAAAGGTCAAGAGATATTCCTTATATTCCTTATATCTCTTCAGATTCCAAGCCGACAGTCTTCACGGGCATCAAGGGACTGCGCCTCCTGAAGACCACGAAATCATCATTTGTGAATTTTGTGGACGACGAATACCGCACGCTTCCGGATTTGCCGGATCGCACGCTCTGCACCGTTGTGGACAGCTCCTGGGAATACTCGGACTTTGAGACTGTTGACTTTTCGCGCACCTGGCAGACTGTCAAGGATGTTGTGCTCAAGAACTTTGCCGGCGATCCAAAGGAGGGCATCGCCTCGACCTCGCTGCAGAACACAATGTATCTCAGCGGGCAGCAGGTGCTCGATCTGGTGCCACAGGTGTCTCACATCTCAATCACGATGCTCAATTTGCACTACGCGAAATTCAATACGAAACCCTTTCAAAAATTGGTGCCAGGAGAAAATAACGAGGTGCTCGAACCGGTCGATAAGCCATTTAGCACCGTCTATGTGCAGCTCTCACGTTAGAGTTTTTTAACGTAACTGACCAAGGTTAGCCTTGGTCGAGCTTATCCGACTAGGAGATACCTGGAATTTTTGCAAAATGATAAATCTTACAATTAGCATTGTTAAAAATAAATTTAAAAAAAAATATACTGAATTTTTTATCTGGCAAAGAGATAAATCTTACAATTTAAATAACATAAATTTAAAAAAAAATTCAAATCTCGCGCCCTCATCAATCAAACGAACTGCTTCCCATGCCGCCATACTGTAATAGGATAACATCATCATTGGTAGCCCTAGCTATGTTATTTCCTTATCTACTTATCATACTGTTATAAAAAACATAGATAGTGACACTGTAATAACATAGCCATGTTATTGCCTTATCGACCTCTACTTATCATACTGTTATAATTAACATAGATAGCGACACTGTAATAACATAGCTAGAACTACCTCTGATGATCCTATTACATATTAGGTCGATTTTGAGACATGCTTATTTTAGGCATAACTCTTAAAAATAGCTAGAAACAAGAAACTTGGTGTGTAGTTTCTCGAATATACAGCTTTAAAAACAATTTAACATTCTTTGCCTCACGTGCTCTGAGTATTTCATAAGGATCGAACTATATACACCCATGATATTCAAGAATATATTTCATATAGTATAATATAGTGTTTCATATATATAAGGAATCTAGTATGTTTGCAAAGGTAGCTCGGCGCGGGTTCAGGGTATCTCCTAGTCGAGTAATCTCGACTAGAGTACTCTAACTTGTCTTCTTGCTCTTTATTACTCTGGCTTTTGCTCCAACCCACGCTCCATTTCAGGATAAGTACATATTTACGATAGTCCCTGCAGAAGCTATATCACATAGAAATCTGATGTTGATAAGATTTTGCTTAAATGTTGGAAGCAAATGAAGCTTTAATTAAATTAGTTTGTTTAAGATATCTTGAATAAAATAATAAATAACTATATAAAGTTGACTGACTAAAGGGGAACCGATCAGGAATAAATATAGGGTATATATATTCTTCGAGTCGGATTACAAATGAGCATTAATATATTGATAAACGATAAAAGACCACAAAGACTCAAAACTTAAAAGTAAGAACGTATAAAACATTTAATACAAAAAGAAAACGAGAGTTAACTTAAAATAAATAAAATTTGATACTCGATTTGCCCGGATTCACTTTATCTGTCGGCCCGTGCGCTTTTGTTTGACTGGTGCGACCGGCGTGGAAGCATCATTTGGCGCCGAATCCATTAGGCCGGAGTCGACCTCATCGACGTTCCTTTTGCCCGACACCAGCTTCTTGATAGATTTGGTCTGCAGCTTCGGCCTGGCCGTGGTCTGCGCCAGAGTTCCGATCGACTTGCGCGGCACCTTCGACTTGGCCGTTGCAGACGTGACTTCGCTGGTCGGCGTTACATCCGGACTGACTACGGCATTCTTCGCTGGCTTAGCTTTGGGCTTGGGCTTGTTGGACTCCTCCTCGAGTGCGGCCTGAGCGGCTTTGGCTTTGCCCGCAGCGCCGGCCACCTTGGCATTGGCCTTCTTCTTGGGTGGCTGCAGGTGTCAAGGATATGATTATGGACATTTGTCTATTATCAGGAGACGGCATATACGAACCTCATTTGTTTGACGCTCCGACGCCTTCTTTTTGCGCTGCATCGGCTTTTCCGCCTTCTCCTGAGCAGCTGGCGGAGCCTTGGCCTTTTCGATCTTCTCCTGCGCCATTCCCTCTGTCTTGGTCGCTGTTTTGGGTTCTTTCTGCTTGGCCAACTTCTTTTGCTTTTTGGCCTTCATGTTTTGCTCAGCCTTGGAGGCAAGCTTGGCCGCCGGCGACAGCTTAAACGAGCGCCTCACTTGCTCCACTTCGCCCTTGGCGACGGCAATTTTGAGCGCCTTTTGCACAGACTTGGACATGCGCCGGGTATCGGTCACCTCGTAGCCGGTGGACTTCATGTACTTAATTATGGCTGGCACCGAAGAGCCAGAGCGACTGTTCAATGCCCTAATGGCTACCAGAGAGTTCGCCAGTATAGTCCCCTTCTTGGCCACATTCAGCTCAAGCGGCTCTAATGAGCCGGAGGGACTGCTTAAAGCTTTCACGGTTGTCGGAGCAGGCGCTGTCTCCTTCTTGGTCTCGACTGTGGGCTTGGTTTTCTTTGGTCCCGCCATATTGATTTTTGTTTCCTTTACCATCTTCGGCTTGGAGTCTTTGATTATAATCTTTTTAACACCGTTGCCCAGCGAAATAGTCACATCCGCATCTGGAGGTGGTGTGGGATACGGATGATCGCCATCATCCTCTTCGGTATCCTCATCGTTCGACTGCGAGTCAGCCGTGAATGGATGCTCGCTCTTCACAGGCTCCTCGTCATCGGACTCCTCTGATTCCTCGGTCGATTCGTCTTCGATCATTTCTTCATCGCTTTCCTCGTCCTCGGAACTACTTTCATGCTTATTACCCAAAAGACGCATTGTATTTTAATTTAATTTCTATTTAAGCTCTAACAAATATGCACTGACACGCGGCACGCTCAAACTGTAACTACGCTGACCAAAAAGCATTCAAGAATCTGAGCAAAATGAAAGACAACGAAAAGGAATAGGAATAACGGTGTTTAGTCAAGTAACCAGCAGAGACAACAACGACGGCTGCGTGCAGTAGCCAACAAACATAATTACAGCCTAAGAGCAAATAATGCTTGCGCTCTCTTTGTAAGCTGCTGCCCACTCTCTTTCGTTGCTCATTTGCCTCCTGCATTGACGCCCGCTCCCCGCTGCCCATCGCTCTGAGCGGCGATCTTTTTTTTGTTCGCTTTACATTTCGTTAGTTTAGTTATTCGTTTGATGGCAACATAGGCGCAACTACTTCGAGTTGGCTGCCAAGCAACAATATAATAATTAATTAATTCTAATAAGTGTCCTGCGTGGCAAATAAATACATTTGAAACAAAAAATAAAGGTCTTTGAATTTCGCTGCAAACAAGCAATGGGAATTGATTAGTTGCATATTGGTTTGCAAGTACAGAAACGGTAATCGTCAATTCCAATTGGCATTCGCTTCGCGTGCAAATGAATTAGTGAAGAAAAAATCCCATTAGATATTAAAGCACGTCGAAGTCTTAATGCCCTTACATATTACTTATTATTACTTACAAGGAAGCCATATGACAAAGGAATCTACTTTATATGGATGTTAGTTATGTTAGAACACAAAATATGAAAACTGAAAATAATATACCAACTTATTGGATGGAGCTATATGATATATTCGACTGAAGTTGATAAGATTTTGTGCTTATGAAACTTGCATAGAGAGGGGAGTAAATGTCAAGTGTGCTCAAGATATTCAATAAAAAGTTTTCGTAATTTCGCTACTTTTATCCGATTATTCCTGAAGAGCATGTGCCAAGAGTCTGGAGAAAATCGTAGATGCTAAGACTGGTGCAGTTATCTGCCTGATATCGGATATCTGGTACATCCTGCAACAGAAAGACGGACTTATGGCTATAGTCTTACAGCTGAGAGACTTATCTGCATAGAAATAGAAGGACGGAGGGATATGGCTGCTGATCATATATTCTTTATGGATCGGAGACGTCTTCTTCTATGACAAAATTGAGGCTATACAAACTTTCGATAAGTAGGGTGAAGTACAGAAAATACATGTCCCTAAAGGGCAACCAAAAAGATTCAACTTTAAACCCTTTGTTTTTTTTTCTCAATATAAAGCCTTAATCATCCAGAGAACATAGATCATGTTCTCACATAATTGAATTGAATATTTACGTTTATCCAATGGAGAACTCTTTCAGCATTTTTAAGAGTAACTTCGTCTTTAATATAATATGGAATCACTTAGCAGAACTCAATATGTAATAGTGTATTTATTTTCCATTTGAATGAATATATAACATGCGTTTTTTGCGTAATTTATTAACTCATCATTTGCATAATTTATTAATTAAATTTTGCACTTTAATATTATTTAAATATAAGTTTGTGTTGACAATTTATTATTGAATTTGCGTTGTTCTCGTTGCTGACAAATAGATTTTTGGCAGTAACAATATGCAACTGTTGCGGAGCCTTTTCCTGTCCACACAGCAGACGACCCCTCCACACGGACAACAAACAACATTTCTATGCATATTTTCAACTTTAGATAACATTCTATTTTCTTTAGGACAATAAACGAACAAATAATCAATATAATTTTATATATATATGTAATTTTTTTTTTGTTGTTGTATAGATTTTTGTTTAAAAACATTTTATTGCATTTAAAGCAGTTTTGCACTTAATATTTCATTGTTTAGTTTTGTTTAGTTGCTGTACAAATCGTTCACATCGTTTGGTGCAGGGATCAGTGAGGGACGATCGAGTCCAGAAAAAGGAAGGAGAACGTGTATAATACTTGTGCGAACTGATATATAACGTCTTAAAGTTGAACGAAACAAAATAAGAGCGAAAGCGAAGCAAGCGAAATAACAAAAAAAAATAATATGCATTGTTGAATTTGGGTTTGGAATGCTACGATTCAGTATGCGAAAGGAAATAAATTGAAAAATCAAGAAATAATAAACAATTTACAGAGCGCACACACTTAAAACCTAACAAAAATGGGTTAACTTTAACAAATGATCGACGTGTCGGCAACAGAATTTCAAGGAGAATGTGAATGTTCATGTTTTGTTTTTTCTTTGATTTTCGATTTTTAAAGTGTGGATAAAGGGACAATTAATTGAGTTTATGTACACTTGAGGATATTTTGACAATTTTGATTACTAAAACACACATTTAAAATAGTTTCCGCTTATTTAGTGATTAGAGAATATTTAACTAGTTATTGTTTAGGCTGCGCTTCGACTCTCTATGTATACACAAATCAAATTTTATACGTAGATATTACAATATTAATATCCGTTTCGTGGTTTATATTGTAGTTTATGTGTATATATGTATATATATATATAGACGCATACACAGCGGATTATTGCATGAAGGGGGCGCGCCGCACGCTGCGCCGCCAGCTTAAATTATGAATGAAACAAAATTTTGGACATAAATCAAAAACAAAACAATTTTAAACAGAATCTAATGGCGCGAGTCCCTAGGATAGAATTCAGCCAAAATGGAGGCTGGAATACGCTTAAGCATCTCCTTGGGGAAGATACGCAGCAGCTGCCAGCCAATGTCCAAGGATTCGAAGACAGTGCGGTTCTCGTAGTTACCCTGCGCGAAATTACAAACAAGCATCAGTAAATATGTTATGATAATTATGATATGTTTCTTTGATTCCTCACCTGCGAGATGAAGTTCTTTTCGAACTTGGTCAAGAACTCCAAATACAGCAAATCATCGGGCGTCAGAGCCTCTTCACCGACCACAGCCTTCATGGCCTGCACATCCTTGCCGATGGCGTAGCAAGCGTACAGCTGATTGGACACATCTGAGTGATCCTTACGGGTCATACCCTCACCGATGGCAGACTTCATCAAACGCGACAGAGACGGCAGCACATTCACTGGCGGGTAGATCTGTCTGTTGTGCAGCTGACGATCAACGTAGATCTGGCCCTCGGTAATGTAACCAGTCAAATCGGGAATTGGATGGGTAATATCATCGTTAGGCATAGTCAGAATGGGGATCTGTGTAATGGAGCCGTTGCGACCCTCTACACGACCAGCGCGCTCATAAATGGTGGCCAAATCCGTGTACATGTAACCGGGGAAACCACGACGGCCGGGCACCTCCTCACGGGCAGCAGACACCTCACGCAAAGCTTCAGCATATGAAGACATGTCGGTCAAGATGACCAGCACGTGCTTCTCGCACTGATAGGCCAAGAACTCGGCAGCTGTTAGAGCCAGACGCGGCGTAATGATACGCTCAATGGTTGGATCGTTAGCCAAGTTCAAGAACAGGCACACGTTCTCCATAGAACCGTTCTCCTCGAAATCTTGCTTGAAGAAACGCGCAGTTTCCATGTTCACACCCATAGCGGCAAACACGATGGCAAAGTTATCAGTGTGATCGTCCAGCACTGACTTGCCGGGCAGCTTGACGAGACCGGCCTGACGACAGATCTGGGCAGCGATTTCGTTATGTGGCAGACCAGCAGCTGAGAAGATGGGAATCTTCTGACCACGGGCAATGGAATTCATCACATCAATGGCAGAGATACCAGTCTGGATCATTTCCTCGGGATAGATACGCGACCAGGGATTAATGGGCTGGCCCTGGATATCCAGAAAATCTTCAGCCAAAATTGGGGGACCCTTGTCGATGGGCTTGCCAGAGCCGTTAAACACACGTCCCAACATATCCTCCGAGACGGGCGTGCGCAGAATATCACCGGTAAACTCGCAGAGCGTGTTTTTCGCATCAATACCAGAGGTGCCCTCAAAGACCTGGACAACGGCCTTGGAGCCGCTCACCTCCAGCACCTGACCGGAACGACAAGTACCATCGGCCAAACGGAGCTGCACGATTTCCGCGAACTTGGGGAATTTCACCTCATCGAGAATGACCAAGGGACCATTCACACCCGACACAGTCTTGTAGGCTGTTTAGATATAACAAAGAAAAATAAAAACAAAAAATATTTTATTTTTGTTTAATTTGTAACCATCTTTTTAGGTTACAATAAAGTTGCTCACATGAATGCACAGCGGCACACAAGTGGTTGCTAATAAGAATCCGATAAGAAAGCGAACGTTAAAAAATCATAGTGAGTGTTTGGGGGTTAAGTAGTCAGCTGACTGGCAAACTGCCGTTAAGCAGCTGCTGTGTCAAGCACAAGCTGCATATTGGGCAAAAGAAAACGATAACGAAAGACAGCGTAAAATGCAATGCAAAATGAGCGTTACATAAAAACAATTGCACCATCAAAAAATCTTTATGAATGCACTCTTGCACTCTACAAACATATTAGTTATAGCTAATAGCTTCTATTTGATCAAATGTGTTAGTTTTTAGCAGTTTGTTTCTCTTTTACGCGTCGCTTGCCCAACATTTGCAAGTCAGGTGCTCTCTGGTTGCGCGCTTTGAATGGCAATAGCAAACAGCTGAGCTCGGCGATCGAGTCATGTGACAGCGAAAAATTTTCATTAGGAATGAATTTCTAGATTTTATTGGTATTGTCCGAAACCTAGTTCTTTAAACACAAAATATTTATGATATTTCGAATGTGTTTATTCGAATGGGTGGGTCTGAGAACGTTGAAAAAACACTATATTGATTTTTTGTTTCGTGTTCTGCTTTCGCATACGATTCGTACAAACTGTCATGGCGGCCGAATGCCCTTGCTGTGGTTTTAGCAAAAACACAATTTTTTAAATGCACTTCTCACTATTGTCACATAATTTAATATCAATTAGGTACTCACTCAAACGTGGCTGGGAGATGAAGTCCCGGGTAAGAGCAAGGACATGCTCCCGTGTTGCTTGTGCGGCGTTCATTTTGCGGAATGAATTTTCTGTCTATACGCAACTGCTTCTACCTTGAAAAGTGCACAGCAAATTTCGAGCTGCAAACAAAACGAAACGGTTTTAATTAGATTCCATTATTTTTTTCTGGGCGTCATTTCAATTAAAGTTGACGTTACAACATACAATTTTTCCGTTTCAAATAATACTGAGCGACACACGCAAAATTTTGGCCTGCGACGTCGTTGCAAGTACGAAGAAAAATCACTCTGACACGGGTCAAACTGTGTAGAATTTATTGTGACGTCACGTGCCGTCACATGACTTTGCGTGTGACCATATTTTGCAGTATTTCTCTGGATTTCGTTGCGCAGCACTAGTCATCGGTCCAATACAGCCCTGGGTTTCCAGAAGCAACTCTATACTGGCATTTTTAGGCACAATATGGCATTATTGAATTAAGCGTAGAAAGTGATTTTTATGTACAATTAATTAAATTAAACTAGTTAACAACTGGCAACACGACCAAATGCGGTATAAAACAAGCATGGTGTACGATTAACACTGAGAGTGGCTGTATCTATTGAAATTTTACTACACTTACCTAAATAAATCAAAACCGCCCGCATAAAAAAAGCAGAACAACTGCAGCGGCAGCACACAAAGAGATTGAGCTAGCAGCAACGACCACGACAGCTACACAACCGTTCGACCAATACAAAAAACCCGTTTCTTGTGTGCGTGCGTGTGTGTGTCTTAATTTTATTTGCATTGCAGCCAAAGCGGTCGCTGCGGCATTTCGTGGCAGAGGCAGACCACAAAAGGGGCGTGCCTGCGTCTAATACTCTGTGAGCAGCAGCAGATTGCAGCATTATGATGGTTGAGTCCGACGGCACCGCCGACGCCACACGCCGTCTCAACGTAAAAAAACAAACGCTGGACGATGCGTACGCTGTGCCCGCAAATTTTCTCGAAATTGACGTGGTCAATCCGCTGACAACCATGGCGGCGGGCAAGAAGCGCTACACGGACTACGAAGTGCGCATGAGGGTGAGTAACAGAATCCCCGCGAGGGGTGGCGGCTGGGGTGCTACATGCATGCAAAATGACAGCGGACCGAGCTTGCAAAAAAAGTGCCAAAACTGTTGATAAAGTAACTGTGCATGTGTGTGTGTGTGTATGTGTATATATATACTGGTGTGTTTGATACGCCTATAAAGCTAAGCGATAATTATTAGTCACAACAAAATTGTTGCAGCGGAAGTGCCCGACTAGTAGATACCCTGTCTGAGTTGCCGCAACATGCATTTTAGTGACCTAAACATACAATTTCCACATATTTGGTGGAAGATAATTGAAATAATCAGATGTCCGCTTATATTAAGAATCAAGGAGGAGATAAAAAAATAAACAAATTCAAATAAAAATCGTTACAAATCGACATTTATTTCTCGACAATCTAAATAAAATGAATTTATGCAGTCGAAGAAGTCATATGCTGTAGGAATATCAATTATAGCCATTTTGTAATGGATACAGGGTATAACAATAGGCGGTTTGTGTTGCATTGTATGCGTCCGCTTTGTGTCCGATTTTCGGATAGCATTAATATACCCTTGAGTCATGCGCTGATATGAAAATGTGATATGCGGGCTAAATACATATATATATATATATATTTTAAAGCGGCCTGAATTAAATGATCTTAAGTAAATAATATTTTTCCTTTGCGACAGACCAACTTGCCGGTATTCAAGGTGAAGGAGTCGAGCGTGCGACGTCGCTACAGCGACTTTGAATGGCTTAGAAATGAGCTAGAACGTGATAGCAAGGTAACAATATCGAGTATTTTTGAATGGAACCCAAAATTTAATACAGTTTTTCGTACGCAACGCAGATTGTGGTGCCGCCGTTGCCGGGCAAGGCCTGGAAGCGACAGATGCCATTCCGCGGCGACGAGGGTCTCTTTGACGAGAACTTCATCGAAGAGCGAAGAAAGGGTTTGGAGGCGTTCATCAATAAGATAGCCGGACATCCGCTGGCGCAGAACGAGCGCTGCCTGCACATGTTCCTGCAGGAGAGTGTCATCGACAAGAACTATGTGCCCGGCAAGATACGCAACACATAAGGATGCTGATGCCCAGGATAGCAACAGGAGCAACAATAGCAATGCAATGAAGAAACAACTCGAACGAACAAAAACTTAAGAAAGAAAGAAAGAAAGATTACGAAACCGATTAGGCAAAATCCGACCGTGTGTTGTATGTGTGTGCTTAGCCAGTTACGCGTAGTAACAAAGTAATAGATGTTAAAAATTAAAAAGGGCAACTGCTTCTTTGGCCAGCGCAAGCGGATGTGGCTCAGTTAATGTTGAGCGCGCTCTAGTTGAAGTATTTGGATTTTTTATTGCTAAATTTAATTGTTTATATGCAATGGTATACATACAATACAAAATATACTATATATATTATATACATATTTACCTAATAGTGTACATAATACATACATAAATCCAGCATTGACTCTGGTCGTCGTCTCATTGCAACGGATCCCTTGGCCCATCTATTGGCCAGGACAAGCGCTCAGTAATGGACTTTTCTCGAATCCGCGTGCGAGCACAGCCCTCCTCCCCATCCCCATCCCCCATACCTTTAGTCGTTGTATGAAATTTGAATAATTATTGAGTTTGAAATTGCAAACAGCAAGGCAAAAAGTTACCCTCCACCTCCATGGATTAGTAATATATATATATATATATTAATATAATTATACAGTTGCAACTGTTTTGCAAACTACTGAATATTTTTTTGAATCATTTTAGTAATTAATATATGTATTGTACTTCGAATCAACCTAAACATAATTCCAATAATAATACATGTATTTTACTAAAAAAAAAAAATTTAACTTCTGTTGATTATTTTGGTCGGTTCGAAATTCTCATTTGATATTAATTAAAGCTGTGCTTCAAAATATCTTCCGTTTTGTTTTTCGTTGAAAGTATTTCGAAACCTTAGCACTCAGCGCAAAAATATTCGATATGTGTTTTTATAAAATATCACACTTAACAAAAGCTAATGTGTAGCAAGTTTTATGTATATATATTTTAAATTTTAAGAAAGTGATGTTCCGTAAAGTGTTGGGGTAAGTGTTAAAGCTTAGTAAACTGATCTATCACAAACGCTGGCAAAATGTGCACAAATTTCTGGACAAGCAACGATTTCTTAAAATTCCCAAAATAAGGGGAAATTTCGGAGCATTTTCACAGTTGCATGTTAAACTTATTCTTTTCTTCCCACTCTTCTAAATTCCCACTCATGTTTTATGCACCTGTATATTTTTGTAGAAGCAACTTTTTTTTTGTATTCTTTTGAAAGATTCGAAAATGGGTCAACTTTGATTTTAGATAAATAAATTTGCTGACTTTAGGTTATCTCTTTAAATTTTGAATTAGGCAAAATTAAATTGCTATCAATTCGATTATTCAGAATTGAGCAAATAATTTGACAATTACCATTTGAATATTGAATTAATAGATTTGTGAGCTTAAAAAACCGAATAAAAGATGCTGCCCAAAATACAGAGCGTGCATAATTGCGTGCGTGCGTGCGTTGTGCTGGCGCAGCCACTGTGCGCAGGGCTGCAGCAAGAGGCGTGCAAGCGAGACGGCCATAGCGTCGATATTGCTGCTTGTGTGTATAGGGTTGTCATGTGTGTGTTTTTCTTTTTTTTGTTTTTTATTTTTGGCATGGACACTGCGGATTCTCCGACGAAAACGCAAGACAGCGATGATGAAAACTACAATCTGCTCTGCCAGGCTCACGAACAGTTCAACAAGTAGGTGCCGCACAGCATACGCATTTAAACATTTATCGAACGCGCCCCCCCCATTTTCCTCGGTCCACTTTCCCGCCCAACAGTTGCGAATATGACCGCTGCCTGGAGCTGCTACAGCAGCTGGAAACGAAGGGTGAGAGCAGCGCTCTAATCTTGCGCCACAATCGAGCGGTGGTCAACTATTACAAGAGCGGCTGCGTGAAACACCAGACGCTGCTGCAGGAACTGGAGCAGCTGCCCGACGCCAAGCCGGCGCCGGGCGAGCCGAACGGCGGCATCTCCCTGAAGCATGCGGGCAGCGCCATAACCGTGGCGCGCTACAACAAGGCGGTGATTTACTACCATCGGCATATGTACGGCACGGCGCTGGAGCGGCTGGCGCCTCTGGTGGCCAGACTGGAAGCGCTGGAGAAACAAATGGCCGCGCTCGTCGCCACGTTGCAGCTGCAGCTGCTCCTGGCCACAAATCAGCTAAATCGCGCGGAAGCATTTCTCGATTACTTGCAGTATAAGCTAAATCTTGTGGCCAGTGCGCCGAGTCCGAGTCCCAGCGGCAGCCCCGATGAGGCAACAACAACAGCTGCCGCTGCCGCTGCAGCTGCATCTGCATCTGGGTCTGGGGCTGCAGCATCGACGGGCGTGGCGACTGCGACGCCTGCGCTGGAGAACAGTGTGACGCGCGTTGCGGGCGAGAGCGGGAGCAGCCTGCAGCTGTTGCAGCTGCTGACGCACGTGCTGAATCGCAAGCCCGTGGTCATAACCGAGGATGGGACGCCACAATTTGCGGCGCTCAAGGCGCAGCAGTACTACATCATGAAGGACTTCCAGATGGCTGCCAAGCAGCTGATGCGCATCAACGATGAGTGCACCCAGGCTGGGTACGTTTGCCGCCGTGCAGCTCGTCCAGCTTGTCCCTGACTATTTGTTTCGTTTCAGCACCGTGACGCCGCAGCTGAGCACGTGCATCGCCAACAACATGGGCGTCATCCATTTGCGTGTGCGCCATTATGCGATTGCGGCCAAATTCTTTCAGAATGCGCTGCGCTTCGATCAGCAGCTGGCGGCGAATTTGCGGCAGAGCACGCTGCAGACAATGAGCTCGGCCAGTTCGTGCGAGATTATGTACAATCTGGGCATTGCCATGCTGCATCTGCGCCGACCCAAGGAGGCGTTCCACTGCCTGTTGGTGCCCGTCAAGCAATACCACAGCAATCCACGTCTGTGGTTCCGCATGGCCGAGGCTTGCATTATGGAGCACGAGGCGGTAATGCATCGTACATTATTTAACCATTTCTCTATGTGATTTAAATGCTTTACTCAGCAGAAACTGCTTGGAAAGGAGCGCCATACGATAGAGAATGTCATGAATTCATTGGGCTCCAAACCATATGGGTGAGTAGCCATCGCTTCCCCTCTGAAACGACGCGCTCTTGTCATACCCAACATTTGTCTTACCCGCAGGGCTCACTCGACTGCGGTGCCGGAGCCAACGCTTGAATTTGCCGCCTTGTGCCTGCGAAGCGCTCTCACCCTGACGCTGCAATACAAGGCCAATTTCTTTATGGCCAGCTCGCCGGAAGAGTCACTGGACCAGAAGGATTCGGCACAGCAGCTGTGGAGTCAACAACAGGACAATAACTTTTGTAACCCATCGAAACCGATTAGCCTTGAATCGCTGGAGAACATGCTGGCCGCCATCTATGCGGCGCACAGCTTTGTGTCCCTACGCCTGGGCGACCATGTCACCGCACTGGAAATGGCCAAGCAACTGCTGCAGAGCGAGCGTCTCTCCGATGCCCACAAGTAAGAGCCTCCTTTCTATTTTAGACTACATTTAAATTCATTTTCGCGTTCACAGATTGCTGGGCCACATGTATGCGGGCGAGGCCTTAATGATGCTGGACAGATCCGGCGAGGCACGCGACCATCTGGAGCCGACTTTTGTCACCACGCTGAATGCCCTCGATCTGGAGACACGTGACTGGCAGCTAAAGTCCCTGGATGCCGCCCAGAATGTTGTACGATACAATTTGGCCGTTGCTCTGGCACTGCAGAACGATTTCCAGGCGGCCAAAAGTCTGCTGCTTACACTAACCCACCCGATTGTGAGCAAAAAGGCGCTGATACTGCATCGTTATATCGAGCTGAAAATAAGCACCAGCAGCACACTCAGTTAGGCAACAAATTGTGTAAATAGCATAGAAGGATTCAATAAGGAAATCAATGCGGCCTGTAAATATAGATAAACCCCAAACAAACAACTCGAAATCTCGCATCATTTCATTGGATCGATGATGATGAGTCAAAGGCATTTATTCAATTGTTTAATGTTCATCTTTATTTAAGGATCTTTTAAGGGAGAAACGTGCACAATCATCAAAGGATAACATCTCCAATTAAATTAAGTAGCTGAGGGGATAAATCGCTTAGAAACTCGGTTCCTGTTTTATTTTTCGAAATATTTTAGACAAGATCTGCGACTCCGAGCTGAACAGAACATTGGGCTACGATATTTTTAGGAAAAATTTGTCAAAAATTTCGTGGTTTTAAGGAATTCATTTTCACTTTGAAAATATGCGATTTTTAACATATTTTATAATAGACAATTTTATAAAATATCGAAAAGCACACGTTAATCCCGCTTTTCTTTCATGTCCTAATTATAAATCTAGTTTAATTTCTTCTGAAATTTGCTGAAATCTTTTCACTCTCACATAGATGTTTAGATATTTCACAGTGAATTTCAATTAACTCTTTCAAGTGCTTATTATATCATATTATAGCCTTGGCATTGAGGCTTTGAAGTCAGCTAAGAATATACGTTGAAGTATATTGACAACAATTTAATAGGGAATAATTTGCGAATGTGAAAAATTTCGGGTACAAGCCGTAAATATTGTTTCATATTTTATATATGTAATGCTTGTATACCCTTGCATAGAGCATTATTAAATTCCCAATTGATTGGGAACTCGAATCGCCGCGCTTCAATCAAAGAGTTTGTTTTCTATATGCAACATTATCTGGTGAGCAGCTCGGGTATATTTGTGCTTCTGCCTTTTGCATATATTTTTGCACAAAAGGTGTTCAGGGAATGAGAGAAAATAAGAATCGACTCAGCTCGTTAAGCTGCCTGTTACATACATTTGCAAAAGACCAATATGCCCTTTTTACCAATTTTCAATGGGTCCAGGGTATAAAAATAATAATTACAATATTGTGTGTGGGGGACCTTATTTTACAAACTATTCTTTGGGAGAGTTGATGAAACGGAGCTTTATGAAATTTGTTGGAGGAAAAATCTGTTGCCTATGGGAAATTAATGAAAATGACAGAAAAGAAATGAAATGAAAGAAAAAAAAAAATGAAATGAAAGAAATGAAAGAAATAAAATAAAAGAAATGCAATGAAAGAAATGAAATGAAATAAAATGAAAGAAATGAAATAAAATGAAGGAAATGAAATGAAATGAAAGAAATGAAATAAAATGAAATGAAAGAAATGAAATAAAATGAAAGAAATGAAATGAAATGAAATGAAATGAAAGAAATGAAATGAAATGAAATGAAAGAAATGAAATGAAATGAAAGAATTTAAATAATATGAAAGAAGTGAAATGAAATAAATGAAAACGAAAATATAAAATGAAATGAAATGAAAAAAAAAGAAAAAAAAGAAATAAAATGAAAAAAAGAAGAAATGAATGAAATGAAATGAAAGAAATGAATGAAATGAAATGAAAGAAATGAAATAAAGGAATTTTCACATTTCATGCCAATTTGGACACAGAGAGCCATTTGGTGTATCCAAATTTCGTGCTGAAAATTTTGCCGGAATTTCTCAACTTTCTGTTCTGTGTTCTCTCTAAGGAAAAGCCTTTGAATCGAAACTATAAATAAAATATTTATTAATCAGTACGCATATCCGCAGCTGACAGCTTGGGCATCAGTTATGGACTCATAATACATATACTATAGATAACATATATACTAAGCTAAGTATTTTTGGCACTAGTAGAAATTGTGGCTCTAGCTCCCTGGCATTTAATTATGGATCATCAGCGTCGTCGTCGTCGGCGACGGCGTCGCAGCTCGTATCGATTCATCGAGAGCACAATGTTGTCGAAGATGTACTCGCGGACGCCGAGGCCGCAGATGAAGTCGAAGTGATTCCAGCGCTTGCGTGGCACCTTGTAGACGGCCTCCACGTTGGGCAGCCGTGCGACCAGACGCCAGATATCCGCTGGCGCGACAATATAATCGTTTTCCGCAAAGAAAATCGTCACCGGAGTTTTGACATTTTCCAGTTCGTATTCCGGCGGCTCCAGTTGCTGATAGTGCAGCCAGTTGCGTTCCGGGCCGTAGTCGTATTGCCGGAACTTGGTGGACACATAGCCCTGAAAGTAGTGCATCAGCTGCTTGACGGAACCGCCCGCCGGAAAGTTGGCCATCAGATCCGGCAAAAGCGTCTTATTGAGAAAGCGCGTATCGTAGCCGACGGCGGGCCACAGCCGGGTGATGCACACCAGAGGCTTCTCGTTCTCCAGACAGGTCATGGACAGAAATTTCTTGAAGAACTTGTTCGTCGAGAACATCTCAATGCCCTCCAGCATCTTCGACACATAGTTGCGCGTGCCCAAAATCGGGCCAATGATCTTGGCCAGCCCGCTGTGCGTGTTGTCCACGTAGGCGACCGGCGCCAGGAGCGTCGCCGTCTTGAAGACCGCATTGTACTGCGGCAGCATTGAGTTGAGCACCAGGAAGACGGTGCCGCCCTGCGATATGCCCACGAAATGCATCTGCGAGACGCCGCTGGTGCGCAGCACATGGTCAATCTGGGCGGGCATATCGTAGACGCTCATCTCGTGCCAGCTGAAGTTCCAGAAATCGCGCTCCGTCGTATTTAGCCAGAGATTGCGCCGGCAATAGATGTTGCCCCGATTATTGCCCAGCCACACATCGTAGCCGGCGCGCCACAGCAAATACGCCAGCGAATCCTCCCGCCCGTTGAGCAGCCACCTGCAAAAAGCACGGATCATATCAGTTACCACCAGGTCGAACCGGAAGGATTCACGCTACGCACACATCCGACGAGGCATACAGGCCGGAGAGCAGAAAGACCACGGGTCGTCGCAGCACTGTGTACAGAGTTCCATTCGCCTCCAGCTGCACCTGGGGTATTCGGTGCAGGGTCAGCACGTAGCCATCCTTCGTGATCACCGTGTGCCGCTCCACGTTGTAGCCATCGTGCTGGATGCGACGCACCTGCAACGAGCCGAGCAAACATTGCCAGGAAGTCAGTCACACTCTCTGTTAAACAAACACACACACACGCACACCTGCACACACCTGCACACACACGCACACACACTTGCGCACAGTTGGCACATTTATTGTTTGACATTTGGAGGCCACGCGACGCGTGCGTTGTGACATTCATTTAATTAGGAATTCCGCGCACACAGCTTGGGGATTGCCCCGCAGCCCCCACCTCTGTCCACCTGTGCCCCACCTCTGTCCACCTGTGCCCCACCTCTGTCCACCTGTGCCCCACCTGTCCACCTACCGCATCTGTGATAATAATTTCGCGCGAGTGTCGTATGGTGGCGAGCACCTGGGGCAGCAGCAAGGCCAACATGACGAGCTCCAGACGCAGACGCAGACGCAGCGATCTCATGCTGGCGCAGGATGCCGATTACATGAAAGCGGGATTAAGTAACCGTTAAAGTCCCGAACCGGTTCGAACGGGCGAAAATGAAAGCCAGCCCAAGGATCGAGCGCGCGTCAGAAAAGAAAGCAAGTGCTGACGGAGCTTTCGAAAAATCAAAAAAAAAACAACGGCCGAGGCGCACAGAAACACGCGCAATATATATTCGCATCAATGGATATGAATGAGAATTGCAATCAAAGCGCCGTCGCCGTCGTCGTCGTCGCGAGCGCTGCTAACGTTCGATTCGAATGTGTTTTATCGACTGTCGAGTCGCAGGGCTTGTTGCTCGCGCCGAGCTCTCCAAGCTCCAAGCGCCAAGCTCCCAGCTGAGCAGCCAAGCCACCTGCATGTCGTGTGCCTTACCTGTGCGGCGCATCCGGACGCCGTTTTACCTTCGAGTCAGCGCCTCACTTTTCTACACTGCGCTTAATACTTGTATACAATTAGCCACCCGCTCCCCCCCCCCCCCCTCTCCCCCTACGACCTCACCAATCCCTTCCCTGGCCTACCCAACCGGCGTGCTTCTGTCCGATGAGTTGGCAAAATGCCATGGCACTTTTTTAATTATAGCAAAACCCACTGAAAGGGAGCCTATGCTCAGAAAGTGTCAACGCTTCGGTTACACTGGTAAACAAAAAATTAGAGACGTACACAATTGGAAATTCAATTTTTTTTCTATTTATTACAAATTTTATTTAACAAAATATTTTAAAACATTTCTATATCTATTCACATTTATTAACTTTACATTTATTTAGATTGCATTTAGAATTTTTTGAAAAACTTTTTAAAATTTTTTTATTATTTTCCACATTTATTTTAAATAAATCTTATAAATTTGTTCACTTCATGTAAATTAACATTGATTGTTAAATATTCGTTTTAAAATCAGGATTTAACTGAGTTCTTTAGTTTCAACAAAGTTTAATATTATTTAATTTTAATTTTGACTGTGCTTTAAGATCAGAAACAGAATAATTTCTAAATCTTTTAAATTCCATCTTACATTCTTAAACATGTCAATTATGTAGAAATTATTTAGAATCTTAAATCAATTCTATAATTAATCCCATAATAAAGCCTAACTGAAAGATAGGTCAATACAAATTACACCTTCTCGCTGATATTAATATTCTGGAATAGAATTTTAGTCTTGAAAAACATTTTTTCTTATTTGCTTAAGTTTAATTCTCAAATTTTATTTAATGCATTAATGCATTGCAAATTCATGATTAATTTTAATTGAATATAATTTATTTTTATATATTTATTTAACTATTATTTATTATTATATTATTTGAATTAATATGAGAAGTTAATTAAATAAATGGACCTGTAAGTTAACTTTAATGCTCGATCGCTATTTGTGTAATTTGAAGTATATTTTCATTTTATTACAAAATCGTACGACATCATTTACGTCAATTAAAGAGCCTGCTACACTGTCCGACACAGTAGAGCGTTGTGTGCTGTGTGGGAAATTCAATGCAAATTCCATTGGCATTTAATTGCACACATAACTTGCATTATTTGTGCGCATGCAAGAAATTTTGGCGCAGTGTATTCAATTTTTGGAAGCTACTTACACATTTATATATATATTTTTTTTTATTTTTTTTCGGCTTGGCTTCCACCACGTCGCATTGTCGTCGCGGTCGCCGTTATTTTCGCTGAATTGCAATAACCTGTTGCCTAATGTAAGCGCCGATCGCAGTGGCAGAGTTCCAGCTGCGCCAGCAGCGACGTCGCTGCGGCAGAGGCAGAGCTTCTGCTTATTTAGGACCAAGACAGCCCATACCCAGCTTTGTATGGCTACTATAAACGAGAGTGTGTCTGTGTGCGTGAATGTCTCTGTGTGAGTGTGTGTGTGTGTACTTAAATACTTGAAAACAATCGACTGGCATCGGCCCGTCTCCCACCAACGTCTCCAGCACCCTCCCACATGCTGCGCCGCACTCACCGCCCATCGGACTGGAAAGCTTTCATTGCTGGCAGCTTGTTTGTCTATATGGCTTTTTAATAACGCGTCAACAAGCTGGCAAGGGGTTGTAAAATGTTGTGCACACACTCGTACGAGTGTGCAAACATATTCAAGAGCCAGTCCCAACTCAATTTCGTCAATGGGCCCCAGATCGGAAACGGGACCGGTTGAATGTGACCAGCCCAGTGGCCCACTATCGCCGCTGACCCGCTGCATGACTGGTCACACTCGCACGTACATACATACGTTAAATACGTGCATTTAATAACTCGACATTATACTTTGTACATTACATTGGGCAAGCCCAGGGGCGGGGCCAATGGCAGCGCGCCGGGTAATTTTTGGCGTTAAAACAGTTTACGCTAATTTAAAAATTTAAATATTATGACACACATCCGCCGAGTTTGACGCGTGCTGACAGCGTCTCGGTCGGCAAACAAACAGTTGACAACAAGTTTTGACAATTAAACCTACGAGTGCCAGTAATTAATAGGGATTGAGGCCACGGGCACAGTACGGCCAACAGTCGACTCCGGCTTGAAGCCTACGTTTTATCACCTTGTTCGGTTTGTGCGGCTTTCTTTCTTTCTTTCTCTCTGTGTTGCCGCCTAATGGATTCTATGTAACAGGCACTTACACTCTCCGTAATGTACACTTTATAGCACACTCAGTTGCCAAATTTGTTTGTTTTGGTCTTTCTTCATATAATATGCACATATTTACTCACACCTGTGGCAATTATGTGATGTAATTTGCCTGGCTCGAGCCTCTTTCATACACTACCCGAAGCAGGTATTGCCACTGTGTTAAAGATTGTGATACATTACGTTGGGTAGGTGAACAATCAACAATAAATTGAAATAACTTTTCTTCAGTTTTTCAATTTACATTCCGATTCATATATATTCTTAATCTGAAAATGGAAAATGAAAATGAAAATATTTTTGGTTTTAAAATACGTTTTACACATATTTATTTGCTGAAGTTGTCAATTTATTTTTCATTCAGAAACAATTTATTATTAATACTTTTATTTGTACCCTTTCTTGAACGTACATTTTTGCTTTCTTTGCCTTTACCATTTTGGAATAGTAGACTTTATGAAAGACAAACATTAATAATACTAATGCCACATCGAATATATTTGTTTTGTTCTTTGTTCTTTATAAGAATCTGATTTTTGTTCTTTTTAATTTTTTGTTTAAATTCATATCTGTTTAAATAACAACAAATTTGGTCTGGCAAAAACATGCCAAATACTACAAATTTAATTCATTTATTATTATTATTAATTGTTTATATTCATTTTTACACTGTTACATTCTAATTGCTTGATTAATGTGATCATAGAGTATGCAGACTTGGCCATGCTTTCGCTTTTCAATTGATTTCGACTGCATTTTGTGTGCTTTGCTTTGAACTTGAAATTCGAAGTTCGAAATTCGAAATGCCGTACATCTGCATAATATGTTAACCGAAAGCGAAATGGCGGCCACTAATCAAAGGCTTGTTCAACTTTTCCCTTGGGACAATGAGTTGACATTTCACTTTTCACTTTAAGTGCTCTTCTTGTCCGATAAACCTAGCCATGTGCATATATACATGTGCACATATATATATGTATATATATATTGTTTTTTTTGGTCATTTTCAGCTGCAGACAAAGCGACTGGAGTCTTGCATTTCCGGCCTGGGTTAGCCCTTCTGCTTGGTTATCGCCGCAAGTCAAAGCGCCGCGGCGAACTACACATACATGCATACGCATATGTGCGTGTGTGTGTACATACATAATGCCCTGCCGTACATGCATGCATACGCATATGTGCGTGTGTGTGTGTGTACATAATGAACTGCCGCTTATCAGTTGCAGGGGGCAATAAAACGAAAGCGATTGATGCCGCTTGGGAAAAGACCCGCTCCAGGCCGCGGCGAATAATCAGCAAGAGGAAAATGGCCAAGCTTTGCGCTAATCTGCCGCTAATTGTTTCTTAATGTGTTTATGAGACGAAGTCAAAGTACAAGGCAGGCAGGTAGCAATTGCTGAGAGCCATTTACCTGCTCTGACTCATAAGGCACACGGCAATTTTACAGCTCGCCGTCTAGCTCAACATGGCAAATTGCCGATCGTAAATTGCAGCGAGCAAAAAATAAACAAAACGATGGAAAGAAAAAAAAAAAGAGAAGAAAACAATAACAAAAGGAATATTGTGAGAGGCCTTAGGAGGAAGTCAGGGGGCAGCCAATTGATTCCTTCCTGTTGCTTGGCCACAAATACAAAATCTAAATATTTAACGACTAAATTGAATCTGAAGGCGCGCTCGGCTCACATTAGTCAAATTTTCATGGCACGACCCGGGCTTACCTGCTGCCGCTGCCGCTGCCGCTGCTGCTGGCATAATCAATAAAACATAAACAGTGGGCCGACAAGTTGTCGAGTCGAGTTAAGTCGAGCCAGAGGCTGAGTCCGAGCCCGAATCCGATTCCGAGTCCCCGAGTCCCATTGAACTGGCCGGCATCACGTAACGGCAAATGTTACAAGGAAAACCTACTCAAACATAAAAAAAACAACAACAACAACAGCAGCAACCGCAGAGAAAAAATACATAACTACTACATACATATATGTACATGTGTGTGTGTGTGTACACTCTGAGAAAAACAAAGAGAGTTGAGCTGAAAACTAAACGTTCTCAACTCTTAAGTTGCCTTTGCTTGGAATCACCATTTTTTTAAATCCCGAAATTCCCCGCAGGACTTAAAAACCGAACTCTATCTGATATTCGAATTTTCCTATTTCTAGTATACTTATTCTTTTAATTATTATTTTATAGTTAATCCCATTATTGTAACTATAGCATTATTATGCTTATTCAAGGTTTAAATATATTTCATTGAAATGTAAATTAAATAAACCACAATTTTTTTAAATCCCGAAATTCCCCAAAAACAGGACTTAAGGATCGTACTCTATCTTATGTTCGAATTTAAACTTGTTCTTATTTCTAGCATACTAATTCTTTTAATAGTTAATTCCTTTAGTATTTTTATGTTTATTCAAGGCTTAAATATATTTTATAGCAATTTAAATAAAAAGGCATTCTAGACATTTGTTTTTTTTTTAATTTTCTTACAGCTTTATTTTAGACAAGTTCGAATTTGGAACACGTTTGTTTTTCTGAGTGTATAGATGTATCTACAGCTGTATATATGTAAGACAATACAGTCAAGGCTTAAGTTGAAAACACCATTTCTCTAAATGCCGAAATTCAAAAAAAAAGAAACAAGACTTAAGAACCGTAGTCTACCTAATGTTCGAATATAAACTGCTTATAACTTGTTTAATAATTTTATTTTATTAATATTTCATAGTTAATGCAAGCCTTTTATCTTTAGGATTATTATGTTTCCTCAGGGTTGAAATATATTTATATTTATATATGGAAAAGACAGCTATTAAACACGTTTATTTTTCCGAGTGTATAGATGTATCTACAGCTGTATATATGTAAATAATTCCGAAAACTCGTCGTCGTTGTCGTCATTGTCGACAGCTTGGCGAGAAGTTTTGTTTGGGCATTCTGTCCGACCAGGCAGCCCGTCAGTCAATGGACCGGCCTTTCAATCAGTTTGCAGTGAAAGAGACCCCCTCCCCTCCCCCTCCCCCCTCTTGTCAGTGGTAAGCGAAGTAGCCCGAACAACCGTTGGATCCGAGCGGACAGCCCCCATTCAGATCATTGATAGAGAGCGAGGTTCGAGCTGGAACTCTTCGAGTAGCTCGAACTGCAATTTGCAGTTCATCTTTTTATATGCATAATATGCTTGTCAATTATTATTCCCGCAATTTGCACGTGCCAGATTTTGGGCAATAGATTTGACTCATGTAATTGGAAAAACTTGCCAAATACATTATTATTATTTTTTAATTTTTTATATATGTACTTAGGCAATGTGTCATCTGGCATTTGTGAAGTGTGGTTTATGCGTAGTTTGTCATGTTGCGGTTGCAGTTGTCACTCGCGTATATGTTGCATGTGTGTTATTTGCCCCTGAGGAGATGTTGTCACTGATAATCCGAATGTATACACAGCAAAACTAAGTATCTTGTGGTCAATCCGCTGGATAGCAGCTAAATGCGTTGGGGTTTCTCTTAAGTGTAAATTGTTTTAATTGCATCAAATTAATATTAACACAATAAAATATTTTATTTAATTTTATAAGTCCCTATAACTGATAAAAGAGATAACTATAAAAGAGGAAAAAAGTAAATTTAATTGATATCAAGAACAAGAATGTAGACTAAAAATATATTGTAATGGATAGAAGAGGAAAAAAAGTAAATAAACGGAGTTTTTGCACACTTTACAACAAAATGTATTTAAAGAAAACAATATTTCTTGAATGTACCGAAGACCTAATACCCTTGAATTCGAAGGAGTTATATATATATATATATATATATAGTTATTTAAAAATAAATTATACTTTTTTTTTTTTGGTAAAAAAGTATGTATATTTTATTTTTAGCAAGATCACAACTATCTAATATGGCAGCTTAAGCTAGTTATATATTATAATAAATAGATATTTCTTGAAAAAAAGCAAAGAATTATTTTGACTCACATAATACTTGCCAGATGTATGACAAATGTGCAGACGTTAGATAGATTTGGCTATATTGAATCATAACGAGTATCTGAAAAAGATCATGAATATATTGAGTGTGGTAGAGGATACTGCAATGATTTATACAAAAAATTAAAATACATTTTGCATTTTCTTTAAAATACTCCTTATTTAATAAGAAGCAATAAAAAATATAAATTTCTTGAAAAATATCATGAATATAATGAGTGCGGCAGAGAATACTCCAATGATTTATGACAAAAATTCGAATACTCTTCGCAAGGGCAACAAAGTGACATACTATTGTATAATACGGAAATTGTTTCGAAATTCATGTAATACTACTTCAGTGATAAAAGCATTAAATTTAGTTAAGGTTTATTTAATAGGTTTATTCTAGTCGAATTAACATATATCGTCGTACATTAGGCTACACTTTATACCTATATTTATATACTAAGTATGTCGCATGAGCGTAGTTTGTGCCTCACGTGTTTCACATATTTATTGCGTCTGCCTCGAGTTTCCATGCTGCAGCTGAGGCCCAATGTGGTGGCTGCCCGAAGCTGTTTCTTTCATTGTTACTGCTCTTCTTTGTGTCGGGTTTTCTGTTGTATTGTGTCCAATAAACAATACAAGTATAGCTGAGAGGCTGAAGCTGGGGCTGAGTCCGGCCAGAAGTGCGTAACAGCAACAGAACTGAGGAGGTTTTCATGATGATGATGATGATGATGATAATGTGAAGTACATCAGCTGGAGTCAAGCGAAAATGTTCGTACAAATTCGCCCCACGCTCAAGTTTTGCCCAAGGGGCGAATTCTATGGCGCTAGGCACTTATCAGACCAACACAAACAACTCACACACACACATGCACAAATCCAACGCACACACACACACGCAGTGAGGCCCACTCAGAAGCAGCAGAAGCCGTATGCCTGCCAATGCCCTATTATTATCCAAAAGCAAATAAATGCAAGGCAGCTTCGCCCAAACGGCCGCATGTTGATGGATCTGGCAGGCAGGCAGTCCGGTATATAGGGGCAACAGGCAGCCGGCAGAGGCAGAAGCAGCCGACAGAGGCAGAGGCAGCAGCGCTCAGAGACCTACACGACAACGTCAGCGTCATCAATATACGACAGACTCTTGTGTGTGCAGCGGCAACAAAATTCCAGAGCGCACGCGTTCTCAACTTTAGTTCTTTGCGAGTGGCCAAGGCGTTCGGTTCGTTGCGTGGCCGAAGTTAAATTAAAGCGGAAAAGTGACAGCTGAATAAAAGTGTAAAGAAGAACAGAAGAGAAGATATCTATCTCTTCCTCTCTATCGACTGTAGCTGTGTGCGTGCTAGCCGGGTTTTGGGCCAGTTTTATCAAGGAGCGACAAGCTAATCAATCACTCATTCAACATGGCCATCGCTGAGAGCCATCTATTGGGCAGCTGCAAAGCTGTTCCTGGCAGATGCTATAACAGGAACAGGTCACATACCCCCGCACATGCGCCGTCGCCGTCGTCGTCGTCGTCGCTGTTGCTGTTGTTGTTGTCGCTGCTTCTCATGATGCTGGCAGCGATGCCCACTTCGTGCTTGGCACAGACTTGTAAGTACTCGTATCAGACACGCCAACTTCATCAGCTGCGGCTGCATCTTCAGCTTGCAGCTACTTCATCATACATACATATATACATACATATATATTTTTTGTTGGCGTAATAAAGTCGTTGTTGTTGTTGTTGTTGGGATCGCGACAGGCCTTTGACTTATTTGCTGCTGCTGCGATTGCATTTTCTTCGGCTTTTGTTGGTGGCATAATCCAAAAGATTCGCTGCCTGTGTGCATATCGCGTAATTATGCCACGGAAGAGGCGCCGCCAAAGCCGCAACAAAACTTCGACTTGGGTGTCATATAAATGGCCCCTCGGCAACCGCAATCCAATCCAATCCGCCCAAACAGCGTGCGAAAGTTCAATAAATGTTTAGTAACATGGCAATTGAACGCAGATAAACAGGAGCGGTTCAGGTAATTGCGCTTTTGATTGCAGTTCATTGGCAGGGGGGCCAGAAGATATTCAGCACACTCCACGACATTGTCTCTTATACGTATAAGACATGCGAGCGGGTGCATCGAACTTGCTGGAAAGTCTTTAATTAAATACGCAGCAAAACATAAATGTTATATAAGGACTTTTTAAGGCCCGGCCTTAGCAGCTACGTGATGTACAGTTTGAAGGGCATAGAGAACAGCCCGATACAAAAGCAGAGCTGGGAAAAATGAATTGAAAGAAGCTTCTGGCAGCCAACGCGCTGAACAATAGAATCAACCTCAATAAATAAACACGTAAAACGATTCAATCCAAAATTGCGCTTTTAGGGCAGACAGATATACATACATATGTATGTTACATACATATATGATACTATATTAATTATTATTGTTATTCTTAATATGAATATAGGATATACTTATTAACCAGACTTTTCTAGAGAGTCTCAACTTGTATGACCTTCAGCTAAGACAATTCTACATCCATACGGTTTCCGGAAATTTGTAGCCGTAGCGGGACCCTCGTTATTCAGTTGCCTAAATATAATCGCACATAATTTTTGATAATTTAAACATATTAAAGCCATTGCGCTTAACGCAGTGAAGCAATTCAGACAATTGATATTAGTTCAGTGCGTAGGGAGCGTGGACGACTACGCAACCCACTTCCAAAGCCCACGTTTGTACGTATGTATTCTCTTATACACATACTTATACTTATACATGTATACACATATAGCTCAGTTCGCACTCAGTTAGTCATTCGATTTTATTGTACTTGTATTTGTTTTTTTTTTTCGAACTCACTTCCATCTTTCTACTGGTTATTCGGAGAAATTTCTATTCAAATACGATAAAAAGTCAAGCCTGGCGAATAAGTACTTGATAACTCTGCAAAACAAACGCAATAAACCGATATGCTTTTATATTGATATGCAGTTCGCAAAGGGAAATTCTTTTTCATATCCGCTTTAATGCGTACAAATTACAATCTCCCCCTACAAGAACTAACGGAATTTTAACGGAACTGAAAAAGAAAAGCCTGCAAGGTGAGGAAATATGACGGGATATTAAAGGGATTTTAGGCAGTTCAGTTATTTAGACATAAAAATATAATTAATTCGTTAGTGAAAGAAAGAAAAGTAATTCAACAATAATATCTTTCACAATAAGCAGAGTTATTTATAAATTTGAAAAATAATAAAATAGAGATAGAAAAAAAAAATAATAAAACTTATAAATAATAATAACAATAATAATAAACCACAAATTATACAGGATCGGCTCCCAACGACATATTTCATATTTTCTGCTACATTTTACACATTAAAATATTGAAACATATGTTTTTTACGAATGTATTCCCACCTCAAGAACATGCCACACAACATGAGGCCAGCTCGATACGTACACAAAGATAATTTTCTAACGCACACACACACACACACACACAGATGTAGACTGGAACTGGCAGATGATACTGCTCCGGTTTAGGCAACTGCAACCGTCTGCAGTCGCTGCAGCCGCAGCAGCGGGCGGTGGCAGCAGGCCCCGAAATCGATTTCTTTTATTTTCTGTAAATGCCATTTCATTTGGGCTTGAAATTGTCTTTTGTTTTTGTTTGTGCCGCATGCTTTGTCCCATTTTAAGACATTTAGACACTTCTTCGTTGTTCTTGTTGTTGTTATTTTTGTAGCGAGCGTTCCCAAAGGGATTCGAGTGGATGCGGCATAGAAATGGTCATTGAGCCCGCCGTCGATGCATATCTCAGGCAGGCTAGCAGATAACTAATTTCCAACTTCCACGAATGCAGTTGCCCATGCATGTGTGCCTGCGTGCGTGTGTGTGCGTGTGTCGGGAGAGAACAATCGACTCATAAATAAAGCAGCTACTTTGGGCGACTGCCTGTTGGAAGGGGGGCGGGGCTCTGCCCGGTCTCGTTGGTTTGTTTATTGTGTTACTAATTTGGGATTCCTCGGGTTGTTGTTGTTGTCATATGTGTGTTTGGAATTTTAATCGCTGCATCGTGGACACTTGGACGCATTTTGAATTATGAGGCGCGGGCGAGAATTTGGGTTGCGGCGCGTTCGTGACGTCGACATGGACATGGACATATCTAGATACTAGAGCTGCATTGGAAAGGGGAGCGTTATCCAAACATTTCTGAATGGAAATGTGTGAGAAAATGTGCGCCGATGATGACGGCGATAATGGCTATGTGGACACACACACACACACACGCACGCACACATAGGTTGGGCAGGGCTGGATGTCGTGGTCATAAAATAACAATCGACGGCAGTTAAATTGGTTTACGATTTGGTTAAATGGCATGTTTATCAAGTTTGTAGCGTCCGAGCTATTAATAAAATGCATATGAAAATGCATTTCGTGCATTGTTTAATTTATAATGTATTTTTGAAATCATGACTGCAGAGAAAGTCGGATTGATAAATTGTCGGTTCTTAATACAACTCGAATATGAATTTATAAAATCTTATCTATAACTATAATTATAACTTTCAAGATCAGCTAAATTGAAGCTAATCTCATTTATTGAATTTCTATTTGATGTTTAGCCGAGTCAACAACCCTGCCGTCAGTGGACACTGAGGAAGTCACCACGGTAAACCCACCACAGCAACCAGTGAACGAACCCCATGTTGCCGCTGTCAACGAGACGAATGTTCGGCTCGAGCCCGAGGAAACGGCTGCTGCCGAAGTTGCCGATGAATTTGCCCACACCAGCTTCGTGGCGCTGGGGGGCGAGGGACTGGAGCAGGGCATACGCAATGCGGTGAAGAGCGAGGTGGAGTCGGAAATCGAAGCAGATTCCTCTGCACTGGTGGAGACACTGCAGGTTGACCATAAAGAAGACGAACACAAGACAACAAGCAAAAACGAAGAGCAAACAGGTAGGTTTACGCTAGCAATAAACTGAGGTGAATAAGTGCTCAAAGGTGAATATTTTCCAGATGCAGCTCAAGGTGTACGTGAGCCTAAAACTCTGGAAACGGATGTGGAGAAGGTTGAAGAGACCGACAAGGTTGAGGAGGCAGAGAAAGGAGAGGAAGCAAAGAAGGCCGAATCAACTGAGATTGAATCCGAGTCGGATAATACTCAAGAATCTGTGGAAGCCAAGGAACCTGCGATTGCCGAGAATTCAAGCGACCACGTTGAATCAAAGTCGGACACAGAAATTGACAGCTCTTCGGCAGAGGCCAATCCTGTGGCAGCAGAGAGCCGACCGCTGCCCAGTGTGACCAGCGATTTGGTGGCCGTGATCTTCGATGAGAATCGTGCGATTACCGAACAACCCATAGCGAAAACGAACCTCTTAGCCTTGGAGAGGGAACATGAGGAATTCAGCGAAGTGGAGACAACCCCACAGCCCACATTGGAAGTGGTGCCCAAGCATCAGGTGACCAAAAAGCAAGGTGTCGAGGATTTGCTGCCCATGGAGATTGCCCAAAAACAGGATGAGCCACAGTCAGCACCGGAAGTAGAAGGACAACAAGCACCCGAACAAGACACAGCTGAGAATGCCAGAGATGAGCGCAATCTGGAGACGGCAGCGGAGAGTACATCAGAGACATCCGCTCAAGATCAACTGAATGAGATCGAAAAGAAAGAAGTCGATGTACAACCCGCAACTTCAAGCACTGCGGAACCAGATTATGTGGCTTCAACGGAGGCTTCGCCGGAGCAGGCAGTTGTGGAGGCTGTTGAAGAGACTTTGCCCGCGGAAGCCGAGAAAGATCTGTCGGAAGATGAACAGAAACCAGATCCGAAAGAGCCAAGTGTAGCAGCAGCAGGCGAGCCAAGCTCTTCCAGCTCAACAGCTGCCCCGACAGAGTCTGAAAATGAGAAGATTGACGAATCTGTTGAAGATGAGAGCAGAGATGAGAGCGATGCCGAGAAAGGTGAATCAGGAACGGAGCAAGGCGCTGTTGAGCCAGCTGACAAGGACTCCTCCGAGGAATCCGAAGAGCTATCGGCCGACGAGCCGAAGGCCCGAGCCGAAGACAGCACCGCGACTCCGCTCGTCTCCTATCCGCCGCACAATTCGGGTCAGACGTTTGTCAGCAACCTGGCCGACGAGCGCAGCGCCCATCTCTCGCTGGCGTCCACCAGCCGCTCCACGCTGATCATAGCACTTTGCTCCGGCACCGCCGTGCTGTTCATTGTCTTCTCCTTGGTCATATTTGTGTTGTCGTTCCAACGCCAGCACGGAACACTGGACATCGAGATGCAGGAGCAGCGTTTGGGCAAGGATGACCTGGACCAGGAGGATGCGCAGATGAAGCTGCTCGATGTGGAGCTGTCGCCGCCCGTCATCATTGCCATGGGCAACGAGGAGACCGACGAATGTCTCTAGACATCCAATCCGGAACGCCTCCGGCGCATTGTAAATACTTTATAACTTTGAGATTGCGTTTTTTTTTCTAAGGCGAAGCAGCATCCAATCCCCGAGCTAGCTTCTTCAACTGGTTGTTAAACTTTCGGCTCCAAATTACGAACTGGAAAACAGACAAACAACAAAAAAAAAAAACGAAAAATAAAAAAAACATTTGCCATATTGTTTAATTTTAAGTGGATCCTCGTCTATAAGTTTCTCTCTGCTCAAGAAAACTCAACAATTATTTATCACTAGGACTTTGATCTAGATTTAAGAACAATTTTATTGCGACTCTGATAATGAATCAGAATAAATATTTTCAACTAATTAAAAACCAGCAAAAATATTTATTTTTAGTCTCATAAAAAATATAGTCCGATCTAAACTGAACCTTCTACAAAAGCCGGGTTGGGTTTGGATTTAGGATTTTTATCAGCAAATACATATATCCTTAAACATTTTTGTGTACTTGGTTTTTCGGGTTGGATAATTTTCGAGAAGATAATTATTAAGTTTAGTGACTTGCTCTTAGGATCAAAAAGATAGGCTCAAGTTATCGGATTTCGATACCGATTCTTATCGATAGCTTGAAAGCTCGTACTATGCGAGCACTAGGAAAAACAATGTTCAAAATTTAAAGTCTCTAGCTTTTAAAGGTTTTGAGATCAACGTCGGAGATGCTTCCTTTTGCGAAAAAAAAACCCTCACACCTTTTTAACCCATTTTCAAGAGGTTCAGGGCATACAAATTTTTAACTAATGAATTTAAAACTTTAAAAAAAGCTACAAAAATACTCAGTAAGCCATCTATATAATACCTTCGTTCCAGGAGCCCTTAAAGTCATATAGTGAAAAGAATATGAGATCATTTAGCCATGAAATCTTCCAGATAATAGATATCCTTGCACTTTAATTTGAAATACAGTTTCGGTTCATTTTAACTGTTAGCCTGAAAGTAGGCAACAAATTTTATTTCACACAGTGCGATTTATTTTGTAATACCCGTATAAAGTCTATTTAATAATACATATTCAATATTATTTATATTGTGTTTTATTTTTAATACGTAGGATTAGGTTGAATCTTTCTGTTTATTACATGAAGATATCATTCTAGTAACAAAGTGCTTACGAAATATTTTGTTTTTAAAGCATAGCAAAATATTTAGTAAGGACTCTGAAATTGTTTAAAATGAAATATGCAACAGATTTTATAGATTGCTGAGCGTAATTACAATCATTAAATTTATATAATACGAATCAATAGAGCTTACATTAAGTTATCTAATTCAATGGGCAAAAAACAATGGCAACTTACTAATAATAATAATAATAAATAAAATTGTCCCTTGGTTTGAATTGTCATTTTTAACGCATTTCAACTAAGGCTTCTAAAATAAAAATGACTGCAATATAATATCGATAATAATATCCTGAACATATTGCATTTTATTGATCTCAACTATTTGCAACTCTAGCTTAAGCTCTGAAAATGTATTATTAAATATTCTGTAATGCCAAATAGGGAAAATCAGAATCCATGAAAGCTCATGGAGGTCAACCAGAAATGATTTAAAGCTTTGCCACTTTCAAATATCAGGGACCGCAATTTATGGCATTAGTGCAACTAATTGCATTGAATAATAAACTTAGACGAGGCGGCGCATCAAAGGCCTCTTTTAATTAACCAACAAATGAGAGCAAAGATCTATTGAACGGCGCGATAGAGAAGAAAGAGAGAGAAAGCTCGAGAGCAACAACAAGTTCGATGCTGCCAACATAATAAATAGAAGCCGCATATTGAACATTTCCACCCGCCATAAATATCGACACCAATGAGCGGAGAGATGAGGTGAGGAGACGAGTGGAGAGAAAAGGCGACGACGCTGTTTTGATTGACTCTTCGCTGTTGCCGTTCTTGTTGAAGTTTACTGATGAGCTTAATGAGCTTAATGGACGGCGAATGGAGAAGCGCGCGCATCGGCATCGTGCCTGAAGTGAAATAAACAAATTCATTTTGAGATTAAGAGTTTTCTGTTCGATTTTTGTTGATGTGATCTTATGCAATCGCCCGCACAGTGGTTGAATTATTTAATGGGCCAAACTTTTCAGAAAACAAATACTTTCGATTTCTTTACCGAATCGACTTGATCATTGTCAATTTAAAAGCAATAAAATGTCAATTGACAGCATCATTTTCACAGTTTAAATTCTATCGCTGGCAATTGCAAAATTGTTCAAAATAGTTGGAAGCCCAACAGTTGATACGCCAATGTGGTTAGCTCTGTACAGACAGCGAAATGTAAACCACATAAAAAACTGACACAGACACAGATACACAATAATAGTCAAGATTAAGTTGCACAAATAAAGGGCAAGCTGCAAAATATATATGTACATATGTATGCAACCACTGTGCTGCAGCAAAGAAGAGACGTGCTTTTTTTCTACATTTTGCTTTTTAACCCATATCCCGCGCGGCGTCGACGCCAACGGCGTTGTCATTTGCTCGTCTAATGCGCGTCTGCCGCTAACCAAAGCTCTCGCTCACGCGCTGCTCGCTCGTTGGCCGTGGCGTTGTTGTTATTGCTCTTGCTCTGCCTCTCTCCCACTGCTTTGTGCGTTCAAACTAAATTCTATTTGAAACGAATTAAATAGTGTATGCATGCATGCATGCGCGTCTGTGTGTGCTTCTATGTGCTTGTATGTGTGTGCGTGTGTGTGCGAGCGTTTTTTCATCTTTCACATTTGAAAGCACAGAAAATAGCAAACATGAAACATGTTGTTCAGCATTTTATCTTGTCGTTCTCGCTCACTCTCTATCTCTCTCTCTCCCTTACTATTCTCCAATCCGCCAGCGAGTTGTGCGAGCATATTCTGAAAAATCTACAAAAGGTAGAATATATTCTAAAATGCGGCTGCTATTTTAAACAGCTGTGCAAAGTTTGTGACACACGCGACGTATACGTATTTTATCACATTGCAGTTAAGCATTTCAAAATGCACAGTGTATATAACGTGTATTTGAATATTATTTGGCATTCTTGCATGAAATTTGTCTGTGTTTCAAGGTGTGTGCAAATGCGTTTAAATTTGTACGAAAACTCAAAGTACAAATTTATTTAGAACGGAAAGCGAGAAACATATAAAAAAAAGGAATTGTTTTAGAAACGTACCCGAAAAAAAGTATTAAAAAGTATTATTGGAAAGGCAACATAAATATGTATCCACAAATATATTGGAAAAATCAAAGATTGGTTGCCAAAAAGATTTCCAATATTTATATAAAAAGTTAATGTAAAACATGGAATCGAGAATCGAATATGTTTGGTTTTTGCCCAAAACCGATTTGGTTTATTTTTAATGTGTTCTTTTCTTGTGCTTTCAACGGAAGAGTATAATTATTCTTATTTACAATCTTCAATAAATTATTTAACCCTATTCGATATTAGCGAACATTAAATAATAAGTTAACGTGGATATGGCACACCAGAAGATATCCTGTATAAAGTTTTAGATCAAATTGAATATAAAAGCATTTGGAGGAAATAAAACACTTTCATATATTAACTATTTAAATGAATAAGAATTTATTTTATTTATTTAAAGGAATAAGAAATATATTGAGATATTATGTATACAGTTTTATGCTCTTCTACATATCTATTCAATTTAACTTTTATAATTATAATTATAATTAATTGTAGATAGAATGTTGTTTGGGCTTTAAAGCAGACTATATTCCTTCCTTTTTACAGGGTATACAAATGTGTTGGCTTTATTTCAAAACAAAAACACAAACCTGCTGTTTTGTGTACGAGCATATATGTATATACATACATACATACATACATATATATTGTGAATTCATGTGCTTGTATAATTGAATAAATAAATATGTATGTATGTATGTATGTGTGTACATAAATTGTCTTGGTTTTGGCACAGTCTAATCTATGTGCGTGTGAGTCACCTATGCATTTGTGTGTGTGTGTGTGTGTTCTTGGTCGCGGCCGCGACAATGAAAAGAAATGAAATTGAAATGAAATGCAGTTGATAAACAATGAGAAAAGAAAGCAGAGCATAAAATTAACGGCATATGCGCAGCCTCCTTCCCTCCATTCTGTTTACACGCAACGCGCCCATAAATTGTCTGCCTTGTTTTTTTGGCCCATTTGCGGCGCAGGTGTGTGCTGCAGGTATTTGTTCTCGTACAGGGTATTCGAATTTTATATGAAATTTGTTTTTTTTTTTTTTTGGTGTACAGTTAGGTTTTATTTTGCGCTGCAATCGATCAGAGCCTTCTGAACTCTACCAAGCGAATCACTAAGAAATATTATTTTATTTTAATTTTCCTGTTATTATGAAAACAATTTAAATTAAATTTATATGCAAATTTACAATACTACTTAGTCTACTATTAGGTTTAATATAAAATTACCAAGGTTAGTTGGATTATATAAATCGATGTGGGAGATCGATTGGATGAGACCTTCGGATTCCTCTAAGTCGACGCCTCTTTAGAAGGCGCCTAGCCAGAAGATTTGGATGGCTTTCCAGTCGCGTTTTGTAGTTTGCAATGACCAAGAGAAGAATGTATAGTTATTAGTATGTAACCTATATGAATATGAAATGTGTAAGGCATAGAATGATATAGTCTCTTTATCTGCCTGCTTCTGTGCCCAAGCAGAAGATCTTTCAGCTTTAATCTTATCAACGTGCAACTATTTAATCATAAGGTCTGTTTTTTAAGGCATTTCGACCTTGACAGCTTACTAAGATATCCCATAGAAACAATCAGAGTAAGCAGCAGATATATCAAACTCTCTATTTTATTTGTCCTTGCTTGCAATTTGTAGTGTATTTACTTCTTAGTTACTAACTAACTAGTCAGGGCAGACAGCCAGTTGGCACTTGGAGTGCAATCTGAGCGCATTTATCATGTCTATTTTGTGTATTATTATATTATTGTTAACTTGGCAACTACTTGGCCTGTTTATATAACAAATATATGTTAGTTATATGCGATTGTATGTTAACTAGTTTTGTCGTCGTTGGGCCAACTGCCAAAGTCGAGCACATAATTGCCGAGCGGGGGCGAATTTGACATCCATATACAAAAGTCGGGGCTTCCACATTTAAGTGAAGTGAACTGAAGTGCGCCCACAAATTATTTGAATTTATTTGATTTATAATTAATAGCAAGTTTTCTATGGCCTTCAATGCAATTGCTTTTCCATGTGGGCAGCCTTTTGCTGTGGGACAACAAATGGAAAAACAACAATATGAGGCTATATATTATCGCCCAATTAAAATAATATTTCAATTCGTATTTGTTATTTATAGATTATCTGATCAATTGCATAATTAAGGTTATCAAATTGTCAAATTGTCAAATTGTTGCGAATATTAAATTTAGTTATTTAACTTGCCATGCAGAGCACGCAAAGCGTATTAAGTCGATCGCATTTGTTCGGCATCAATCGCCATCAATCACTATCAATCAGCTTGCCTGGCAACGGCTGAACGCGGCGCCGCCCTTTGAGCTGCCTTATATGGCACATGGAAACCTATTTCAGTTCCAAGTCAATGAATCTCTCGGCGTGCTACCAAAAAAAAACATAAAATAATAGACACACACACACACACACACACACACACACACACACACACACACACACACACACACACACACACACACACACACACACACACACACACACACACACACACACACACACACACACACGCACACACACATGTTCTGATATGCATAAACATAGAGCTTGGCTAATGTTGATTTTACCTTTACGCTTGATCAATTGGGAAAAACAATTAAAAGTTTTGTTAAACTACCAAAACGAGAGCCAAGCGAAAAGAACGGAAGTTCCAAATACGAATATGGTCTGATATCATGGTTAACTTTGCATATGTATATAGCTCTCCGGCAAGATGAGTTATGGCCGCCTTTCGGGGAACTGAAGTTCCCCGGCGACTGGCATATCAATTAGTAGAAAGCGCCACGGGCCACGCCCAGACAATGTGGTGCTAGGCGGGCCACGCCCACCGCAACGCAGCTAATGAAATGAAAGTGAAAAGAAAAGAGAAGAAAAGCGTAGCACAAACAAACAAACACTTTTCCGGTCATTAACCGGCAAAGTGCAGCGCCCAGACAAATGGCCATTAAAGATGGCCCAGGCCAACATTGCACGCACATCTCCTGGCCATAGTTCATGCACTTTAATTGCAACTAGATTTGATTTGCTTACACCAAAAAATTAAAAAATTATTATTTTTGCTTTGCAGCCCAAAAACCAATTTTATGCTGTGCTCTTTGGGAAATCTTGAGTGCAAAAACAAACCAGAATGACGACAGCCAAATGGATCTTGACTCGGATCTGCCGCATCTTGCTGGGCAAGTACTTCTACTACTTATTTTATTGCCTTTACATCATTTTATGTTTTAGTTTTTAAGCAATATATTTATGCTAGATTTTCGCACATGGCCAGGCCACATAAACTTGAAATTTATGCGTTACACTAGCCGCAGCCTTCGAGTCAAAAAAGTGCGTCAGAACTAGAAATGCTTCGTCAATTTAGGCATAATTTCTATATTTATAAAAAACGTATCCAAGTTCCACATACATTATTTTCCATCTACATACTCATATATCTATTCAATCCCAGCAACTAATTCGGTACATATGAATATGCGCCTATTAACAAGAAAATTAAGTTTAAATAATTCCACTTAAAAATGTTTAAAATCCAAAGGAACTGAAAATACAACGAAAGGCAAATACACTTATTAATACATTACTTATCATTACTACTTATCATTATCATTATCATTATCATTATCATTATCATTATCATTATCATTATCATTATCATTATCATTATCATTATCATTATCATTATCATTATCATTATCATTATCATTATCATTATCATTATCATTATCATTATCATTATCATTATCATTATCATTATCATTATCATTATCATTATCATTATCATTATCATTTTCATTTTCATTATCATTATCATTATCATTATCATTATCATTATCATTATCATTATCATTGTCATTATCATTATCATTATCATTATCATTATCATTATCATTATCATTATCATTATCATTATCATTATCATTATCATTATCATTATCATTTCCATTATCATTATCATTATCATTATCATTATCATTATCATTATCATTATCATTATCATTATCATTATCATTATCATTATCATTATCATTATCATTATCATTATCATTATCATTTTCATTATCATTATCATTATCATTATCATTATCATTATCATTATCATTATCATTATCATTATCATTATCATTATCATTATCATTATCATTATCATTATCATTATCATTATCATTATCATTATCATTATCATTATCATTATCATTATCATTATCATTATCATTATCATTATCATTATCATTATCATTATCATTATCATTATCATTATCATTATCATTATCATTATCATTATCATTATCATTATCATTATCATTATCATTGTCATTATTAATAATTTTATTACTAATATTATTATTACATCGCAAACCTAGGTATTTGAACCCTCACTTACTTTGACCTCGAACACTTTTCTTTAGACTTTAAAATGGCAAAGAACTAAAAAGAAGTCATTTTACAAATTATGTGCAGATTAAAAGGGCTTTCTTAACAACTAATTAACATTCAAATGAATTACAAATATTTAGCAATTTTATATGGCTATCGCTTGCAATCCTTTTGGCGTCTGTTGACCTCAACTAGTACACATGTTCATGCGAATTCCAAACATAATGGACAAGTTTTTATACCTCTCGAGCGCGTGTTTAATAATAGAAGTCGAGGCCCAAAATGTCTGTGGGAGGTGGCCATAAATCAAACCATTATGCATAAGTATGCTATGGCCTAAGGAGAAGACAAATCGCTTGGCCAACATTTTGGCAATGGAACAGCCGTCGTTCACTTGTCACAGCGAAAGTTTCGCCTGGCAATTGTCGCAGCTGATGGGGCTGTTTTGGGCTGTTTCGGGGCTGTTTTGCGGCTGTTTGGGGGCCCCACACGCTGTGCAGTTGACATTACGCATACGCAGCGTGTCCGCCGCCGTGACTCAGCAGCAGGTGGACGCAGCGCAGCGCAGCGCAGTTGAAATTGAAATTAATTTCACGACATTTCACTTGTCCAAAAATAAACATTCGCCGATTTGGGCGAGCGTGGGAAACTGTGACGCACTTGTTGCTATTCTTAGTCCAATTTATTGTTGCCTATTAAGAGATATGCGAAATATGCACAAACAAATGGCAACAATTATAATATTATTTATCAACATGCTCGTTACGTATTTAACACAATTCTTTTTTACACCTCTGTTTTAAATAGTTTTGTGCGTCGTTGCCGCAGAGATGCCCGGCGGCTATCGCCGTGAGATTTGCCAGTACCGCAAGGGCAGACCGGTGCGTAATGGCCACCCGCCGAGTTCTCGGAATCTCCTTCAATCCTAATGATCTCTTGTTGATTGCAGATGCAGCCGACGAGCGCGTATCGCAGCCGACTGCTGGCGATGCGCGAGCAGATGTTGATACGCGCCACGCTGGAGGGGCCTGAGATCTATGGCTATATACTGCCCTCGACGGATGAGCATCTGAATCAGGAGGTGGCGTCGCGCGATCAGCGTCTGCTCTATCTCAGCGGCTATACGGGCAATCGGGCCGTGGCGGCCGTCACGCAGGGCGGCGCCGCCATTTGGCTGGAGCATCGCTTTGTGCAGCAGGCGGACGGGGAGCTGGACTGCGACTGGCAGATCTATCTGGCGGGCGGCAATGTCAGCATCGCCGACTGGCTCGGCGGCCAGCTGCACATGAACAAGCGCATCGGCGCCGATCCGCAGCTGGTGCCGCATCATCTGTGGATCACCTGGGAGCGGCAGCTGGCCGACAAGTTCCTCAAGCTGATCAAGATCAACAGCAATCTGGTCGACATGATTTGGGATGCGGAGCGACCGGAACCGCCCAAGGATCATGTCATCCAGGTGCAAACGCTCGACTTTGCCGGCGAGAAGTGGGAGGACAAAATCAACGAGCTGCGCGGACGACTCGCTCACCTGGGCTGCGATGCCATGATTGTCACCTCGCTGACGGAGATCGCCTATTTGCTGAACATCCGCGGCACAGATATTCCCTACACGCCCGTTGTCAAGGTAGGTTCCTATATCGGATTGTGATTTATTTATGACTATTTGCTTCTCTTTAGTCCTTTGTCATTGTCAGCCAGGACGAGATTTTCTTCTATGTGGATCACGGCAAGATTAGTCTCGGCATCGATCTGCATCTGCGCACCGATTGCTACAACGAGAACTGCGTCAAGTAAGTTAAAGTCCCCTTTTTTTGAAGGTTAATCAATTGCTTTAGGATTAAGATCCCTTCCATATTGATGTCTTTCAGTCCTGATGTCAACTATTACCCATGCAATTTCTATAGAAACTGTTCCAAATGGAGAGTTTATCACTCGAAAGTATAATGGAAGTAATGATAAATCTGTCACTTCTGATTACAAACTTAAACTCGACTTTTGCTCTTTTACGACCTTGATCAATAAAGTCTGAACTTTTTTGGATTTCATCAAAAGTTTGACGATCCTTACAGGACATATTCCCCTTTAATATCTCTCGTCTGTTCTATTCTTGGGCTTTGCTCAAGTGTGTGCTCCCACACAATATTCATATTATCTAGAAAAGGGAATCTGTACGGAAAGAACTGGAACTAAACTGAGATCCAGGTCTTCCGTTCACCTCATGTTCCAGTAGGCTAATCATGATTAACCTTGGTGTAATGTCTATTCATCAAGTAACTCCAGTCGATATCGATCCAATAGGTTGAGGAGTCAAATAATCTTTCCGGTTCCTACTAGACTAACAAGTAATAATACATTAATCTCTTTAATCTTGTCCAACTATCTAATTATCCTTGCTTGAACGGTTCCGGTTTCTGTGTGCGTCCGGAAGACTTCTCTTTTTCGTATTAAATATTCCATTTGAAGCTATTTATCTTTGTACTTCACGACTTGTTATACGAGTAAGTCCCTCGGTTTGTTCGGCGGAAGTTCGTTTGCAGGACGTTTCATCGAAATTCGCGCGATCAAAATATAATTCACTAAATTAATAAAACATCATCAAAGTATTTCACTGAAATGATAAAGCATCATCAGGCATCATTTGATAATATGAAAATCGCATAGAAAGGCGATATTTGTTACAATATGCTCACCCAATTTCATTTACCTCCTCAGAATCAAATTTATTGTCTTCCTTAGTAACTTTTAAGACAAAAAACATTTGTTAAACCTTCTTCCTTGCAGGATTAAGAAGTACAAGCAAATTTGGAGCGATATACGAACGTATGTGCAGATCTGGAAGCGTGTACTTGTGCCGGCGCCCTGCGTCCAGGAGCCGGGTGCCTCGGAGGCCATTTACTCGGCCGTGCCTGCCAAGAATGTTCTGGAGCACATCTCGCCAATTATCTTTATGCGCGCTCAGAAGAACATCGAGGAGCAGGAGGGCATGCGCATGGCCCATATACGCGACGGCGCTGCCATTTGCGAGGCAATGAGCAATCTGGAGACCAGATTCTATACGGAGCAATGGACCGAGGAGAAGATCAAGTACGAGCTAGACCTGTGGCGCCTCTCCCAGATCCATGCCAAGGGCCTGTCGCTGCGCACCGTGGTCGCCTACGGCGAGCACTCGGCCCTGCCCTACTACATATCCAGCAATGTGACCAACATCGAGGTCTCCGACCAGAGTCTCCTGGTCATCGAATCCGGCGGCCAGTATCTGGAGGGCACCACAGACGTCTCGCGCACCTTCATCTTCGGCGAGCCGACGCGCGACATGAAGCGGGCCTATACGGCCGTGCTGGCGGGCATTCTGCATATATCGGACCTGATATTTCCCGCCTCGGTGAAGCCGTCCGGCCTGGACAGCGTGGTGCGCGCCAAGGTCTGGCACGAGATGACCGACTATCCGCAGGCAACCGGACACGGCATTGGCGCCTACGGCTCCGTCGAGGAGCGTAAGTGAAAAAATAAATTGTATTTTGATCTCCGATTTGACGGCTTCTTCTTGCAGCTCCCATCTCGGTGGCCTATGGCCAGAACAGCAGCTTCCACTTCAAGCAGGGCTACTTCTTCTCCAGCGGTAAGCAGCTGGGATACCCTTTAATCAACCTCCCTCTAATCCTGATCTCCCTGCTCTAGAGTCCGGCTTCTATAAGCGCGACGATTACGGCGTGCGCATCAAGAACGTGCTGGAGGTGTTGGACACGGGAAAGACGACCACAAGCGGCGAGCACTTTTTAGCATTCCAATCTGTCACCCTGGTGCCGTACGAGCCGAAGCTCATCGATGGCTCCATGCTGAGCTCGGATGAGAAGCGCATGCTAAATAAATACAATGCCAAAATCCGGAATCAAATTGGCGACGAGCTGAAAAGACTCGGCAACATGAAGGCCTTCTACTGGATGATGAACAAGACGCGACACATACGCGAATATCTGCCCGAGGATGAGTACCGTGCCGCAATGGGCGGCGGTTGCCATAGCCACGCCCAGCTTCCATTGCTGGCCCTTGGTCTGATGATCTTGTTGGCCTTCATCCAGCCCGAGCGGCATCAATAGACGCGATCTAGATAAGTGTGCGTGTGTGTGCGTGTGCGTGTGCGTGTTTGTGTGTGTAATTATGTAGTTTTAGTTAGCAATGCAAATTAATCGAAGAGAGAATCTGGGACTAACAATTAACGAGAAAGAAGGGCTATCTTCGGCATGCCCTTGCAGACCCAACCTTTTTCAGAATGCCAAGTATCTAAGAAGCACAGGGAAAATAGTTAATTCGGAGTATGGTAAGGATATCTTAAAAACCAAAAAAGTTTTCCATACAACAACTTCATTTTCGACCGATCGTTAGTATGGCAGCTATATGATATAGTTGTCCCATGTTGTTAGGATTTTGCATATATATGAGAAGCATAGTAAAACTAATTAATGCCAAGTTTGGTCAAGATATCTTGAAAAACAAAAAAGTTTTCCATACAAGAACCTACTTTACGACCGATCGTTCCTATGGCAGCTATATGATATAGTAGTCCGATGTTGATAGGATTTTGCATATTTATGAGGAGCATAGTAAAACTAATAAATGCCGAGTTTGGTCAAGATATCTTGATAAACAAAAAAGTTTTCCATACAAGAACCTACTTTACGACCGATCGTTAGTATGGCAGCTATATGATATAGTTGTCCCATGTTGTTAGGATTTAGCATATATATGAGAAGCATAGTAAAACTAATTAATGCCGAGTTTGGTCAAGATATCTTGAAAAACAAAAAAGTTTTCCATACAACCTACTTTACGACCGATTATTCCTATGGCAGCTATATGACATAGTGGTCCAATCCAGTTGGTTCCGACATATGAGAAACTAGCTCGCATAGAAACAAACAGACGGAGAGACAATATCGACTTGGCTGTTGATACTGATCAAGAATCTATATACTTTATGGGGTCGGAGATGTCTCCTTCTATGCGTTACACATCTCACGACAATATTATAATACCCTCTGCAAGGGTATAAAAAATACCATTATTAACTGTTAGCATCTATTAAAGTTGTTCGGCTCGATCCGTGAATTCCATCCACAGCCTGTTGCTAAACTTAAACCAATGCAAATACGTAATTAAACTGTATAAAATTACTTAACTACAATTAAATTACCAAAAAAAATATCTGTTAAATTTCCTATATTAATATATAAACAATATCTATCTTAGTTAAGAAATAACGCTGTATATTTTTCTAAATGTGATTAAACGTAAAATTTATCGAAAGTCTACCAAAATTAAGTTAAATGTTTTCTAGCCTTTTAAAGCTTCATTCAAATAACTAGCGAATATTTCCCGATTGATGCCGATCGGATGGGAAATAAAATATAAAATTTACGTAAAACTGCTATCCTCAAATATCCTATGTAGACATACTTAGGTCGATATTTCTCACTCCCATAACTCGGTCAAAACTCATCCGATTTCCACGAGGCTTGGCTTTTTGTTCATGGTTGCGGCTCTAGATAAATTTGGCATATAAATCTAGCAAAATTATTCTTGGTCAAATTTTATTTGAAAATGGTACCCTCAAATATCCTATATAGACGTAGGTTTAAATTTCCCACCCAAATACCTATATTGGCATAAGTCAAAATATCCTATTCCCATAACATGGTCAAAACGCAACCCATTTAATAAGGTTTGGCTTTTTGCTCATGGTTTGGGCTCTAGATCAATTTGGGATCTTAATCTGGCAAAATTATTCTTGGTCAAAATTCATGTAAATATTGTATCTTCAAATATCCTATATAGATATATTCCATATAGACATAGGTCGAAATTTCCCACTCCCATAACTCGGTCAAATCTCATCCGATTTTCATTATTTTTGGCTTTTTGTTCATGGTTTGGCCTCTAGATCAATTTGGGATCTTAATCTGGCAACATTATTCTTCGTCAAAATTCATGTAGAAATGGTACTCGCGAATATTCTATATAGATATAGGTTGAAATTTGCAACTCAAATATCCTATATAGACATAGGTCGAAATTTGCCACCCGCATAACTCGGTAAAATCACATCCTATTTTCACACAAGGTTTGGCTCTTTGTTTATTTATTGTATGCGTACTACTGTCGAGGCCGGGATATTCCCGCTAGTGTACAAATATATATTAAGCCGATTTAGACTTGGGCACGGGTTAGCTGATAGTCTTTAAATAGGAGATTTGTGAATGGCGGCGTCTCGTTAGCCACCTCGATTTGTCCACCTGCCCAAAAGCTTGCGCCGTGGTTAGATGATTGTGGTACTCGGCGCTGAGCTAATTTCACCACAGCCAATCGGGCTGATAAGCCGGGCCATAAGTGGGTCGGAAAGTTTGTAGAGCGTGCCGATTGTTCAGTTATTAACGTGATTCGGACTCGATACATTGTGCTCGAAAAATTTCCTCAAACAAGCAATCAAATTGATAAGGTTTAAACAAATAACAAGGCATGATTGAAGCTGATTGAAGCTGATTGACAACAAAGAGAATATGTGGAGAATTATAAGCTTGTGTCTTTTATTTGTACTCGTACTTCCGCAACAGGATGCGAAAAAAGTGCGAGTCGATGAGCTGACCAAGGGCTGGTCCTTGCGGGAGGCCAATTCCAGTGAGTATTCGACTTGGTCCGCGTTATTTCCCTGTCCGGCTTGATGAGTAATAAATAGAAATTGATTTAGCCTTATTGCCAAATATTGCATATTCGCACAGTCCCCGACCTCCCCCAGACATTCAGATAAGATAAGATAAAGTACCTGACGTCTGCTTCGATTTGTTTGCTATCAGCAGTTGTGGCAATTAATTGGTTGTAAATTTCTTTAACTGCAACCTCTGTGATTTGATTCCCTGCGTTTGTTTTTCCAGCAATCCAATTGAACGTGGCCAAAATACCATCCGGCGTCTATACGGCTCTCGAGGAGGAGCACGGCGATCTGCTGGGGGCGGGCAACGATATCAACCTGCGCTGGATTGCCAACAAGACGTGGATCTACAGCACCAATTTTGAAATAGGTTTGCCCCAGTTACTCGACAGCCTTTTGCCTGATCCTATTAAAGATGCCCAATTTATTTTCAGCTGATGAACTGGGGCTGGACAGCTTGGTGAATCTGACCTTCCATGGCATCGATACGATCGCCAGGATCCGGTTGAATGGCGAACTGCTGGGCGAGACGGACAACATGTTCGTCCGGTATTCCTATTCCGTCGGTCATTTGGTGCGCTTCAGTCCACTTCAAAATCAGCTGGAGGTGGAGATACTCTCCCCCCTGGAGGAGGCGAAAGCCCGTGCCGAGCAGCTGGAGGCGAAGGGCAACAGCGCTCCGCCCAGCTGTCCCTCATCCCGTGGCGATGTTGTCTGTCATCACAATATGTTGCGCAAGATGCAGATGAGCTTCGGTGGCGAATGGAATCCCGTTGCACTGTCATCCGGCCTATGGAAGCCGGTTACCCTGGAATACTATACGGCAGCGATACTACGAGATGTGGACGTCGCAATCAATCGCAATGATACACACTGGACAATGGATTGTCGTGCCTTTCTCAACACACCCGACGCGGAGAAATTCTATGCCCAACTTGTGGTCTATGCCAGGTGAGTAATGCTTGATCGATAGCCGAGCTAGTTTAGAGTTCTCCTAAGCTTCCTGGAATAAGTTGGATAAAAGCTAGGATCACCAGCAATCCGATGGAAGTATAGTCTTGTGGCCCGACAACCGGACAACCTTCGTAAATCCTATGCACAGCTTGTGGTCTATGCCAGATGAGAAGTGCTCAATGGATTAATTATAGCTCAAAATTCTTTCATGTGTCCTGGAATAAATACGACAATTGCTAAGATCAACAGCAATCCGAAGGAAGTATAGTCTTATGGCCCGACAACCTTCGTAAATCCGGTCAACCTTCGTAGATCCCGTAGATCCGCCCTTCTTCATTCATAATGTATATCCTTCTTCTTCCTCCAGCGAACTGTTGGATGAGCCCTTTGTCGTGGCGCAAAAGCAGCTCAGTCAGGCCTCACCCACGCTGGAGTTTCAGGTTCACATACCCCAAGTACGTACGCCCATGTCCCGCAGAGGCTTTAAGCTAATCATTAACAATGCTTAGGCGCGAGTCAAGCTCTGGTGGCCAAATGGATATGGGGCACAGCAGCTGTATCCCGTGCTCTTTAGCCTGAAGAGCTATCGCAGCGAGACGGGGCCCGACTTGAGCTCGCGCACGGATTCGCAGAAGCTGCTGCACATTGGCTTCCGCACCATTGAGCTGGTGGAGGATAAGGATGGTGGGAAGACCTTAAACCCTTTAACCTTTGTTGTCTCAGAGGTCTTAACTCTTTTGCATTTCAGTGCGTGGGCGAACCTTTTATTTCCGTGTCAACGGACATCCGATCTTCATGAAGGGCGCCAACTATGTGCCGGCTCACACCCTGCCCGAGCTGTCGGCCGATGCGGACACGAGTGAGTAGCTGCCTTCCAGGATCATAGATTATCCTAGCTAAGTAATTTCGTTTTCCACAGTTAAACATCTGTTGAAGTCCGCCCAGAACGCCCACATGAATATGATTCGGGTCTGGGGCGGCGGGCTCTATGAGTCGGACACCTTCTACAGCCTGGCGGACTCCTATGGCCTGCTGGTGTGGCAGGACATGACCTTCACGAAGGCAACCTATCCCATTGATGAGGAGCGCATGGCCTCCATGCGTCTGGAGGCCGTGCAGAACGCCCAGCGACTCGCCCATCATGCGAGTTTGGCCCTGATTGTGACCAACAACGAGATCGAGCTGTATCTGGTGAAGAATCGCACGGACTTTGGCACGGATGCCAAGCGACTGGAGGACGAATATAAGCTGCTCTTTGTGGGAAATCTGTGCGCGGAGCTGAATATAATCTCTCGGAATGATTTCAGCCCGCGGCCAGGTCCCATGATTTCCACGCCCTCGTTGGGCATAACAGAGTCCGGCAAGGAGCTGGCCAAGGATCCACAGAGTCCGGACTTTGGCGACGGTGCGTAATATTGACTTTATCCTGTTTATATTGATATATAAATTTGTCCGGACTCAGTTCACATCTACGAGGACGAGAGAGACGCGCTCTCGGTGAGCACTTACCCGCAGGCTCGCTTTATCTCCGAGTTCGGCTCTGGCAGCCTGCCCATGCGCTCGTCCTGGCAGCGTCTGCTGGGCTCGGACACGAGCGATGAGTCCCTGGCGGCACTTATACGCCAGCGCCAGCATGATCCAAAGGGCTTTATACCGCTGTTGCGGCAAATAGCCTACCAGCTGCCGTTCACGCTGCAGAACTGGGAGGACAACATCGACGAGTTCATCTACTTCAGCCAGGTGTCGCAGGCGATGTCCACCAAAATGGCCATCGATCTGTTCCGCAGCCGGCGCGGAGATTACCAGACAATGGGCGCCCTCATCTGGCAGCTGAACGATGTCTGGGTGGCGCCCACCTGGTCCTGCATCGATTTCTATGGCAACCACAAGCTGGTCTACTACTGGGCCAGGCATTTCCTGGCCCCCATCAATATCATCGCACTCTACAACGAATCCAACGATCAGCTAAATATAACTGTCACGCGCGAGGACTATATGGAAACGCCCGATATGCAGCTCTACAATATATTCATCAATACGTTTCTATGGAATGATATATTCTCCAAGAAGGTCATCGCGCGAGCTATTGGCCTGGTAGGATAACCCATCTCTATATATAAACTGTTTGCCCTGACTGACTGACTTACTGACTGACTGAACGACTGACTGATTGATTGACAGACTGATTGATTGACTGATTGATTGATTGACTGACTGACTGACTTATTGACTGACTGACTGATTGATTGACTGATTGCTTGACTGACTGATTGGTTAATTGACTGACTAACTGACTGACTGACTGACTGATTGACTGACTGACTGACTTATTGACTGATTGACTGATTGACTGATTGATTGATTGACTGACTTATTAAATGACTGACTTATTGACTGACTGACTGATTGATTGACTGACTGCTTGACTGACTGATTGGTTGATTGACTGACTGACTGACTGTATGACTGATTAATTGATTGACTGACTGACTGACTGCTGACTGACTGATTGACTGACTGATTGATTTATTGACTGACTGACTGTTTGGTGATCAACGCATAGCCCAATCCGCAAGAGCTGGGAATCTGAAATTTTCACTTTAGTTACCTTATGTGATTAGGGTGCACGTTAAGACGGGGTTTCCACCAGCAAGTGTGGAAAAATTGCGAAAAAATTTGGTATGAAACATTTTTGTTTAGCATCCGTTCGGCCTTAAACTTATTTTCAAAGATCTTTGTTCAAAATCACTTTCATTTGAGACGTGTTTCACATTTTTCGCAAAACAAAAGCTACCTCGGTAAAAAGAGCGATTAACAGATTTGGTTCTTTATTCGATGCACTTTAAACATATTTTTAAATAGAAACGGAGTTCAAGTACGGGTAGATTTCAATTTTGAAAGGGTGTGTACTTAGTGGGAAGGTAATATCTGAAATTTTTATAACAAAACGTTTCACGGGCAAGGCCGGGCCATACCCGATAGTCTATATATGTATATATATATCCTGAGTAATATCTTGAGTAACAATTTCCAGCGCGGAAGTTCTATAGACCAGCTGAACATACCCCTGGACTCCGTCTTGTACGAGGCACATGCCAAACAGGAAATCTTTCTGGAAATTCTCTTAAGGGACGAAGATGATCAGGTTGTGGCACAAAACTATTTCTATCCGGTGCCCATCAAGCACATAATTGGCATGAAGGATCCCGAACTGAGGGTAAGTACTCTACTTGTCGAATAATTGTTCCCCAATTAATGGATGATCCCTTGAAAAATAGCTCGAAGTTGTGGGCATCGACTGCAGCACCACGTCCTCTCCCTACGCCAATAGCTTCAGTCTGCGGATTACGGTTAAGTATCCCGCCCTGTTCGTCTACTTGGAGCTGACGGATCCGGAATATGCCAATCAGAGGCACACTTTCTCCATGAATGGCTTCACACAGACCGTGCCGCGGCAGAATGTCTACTTGGAGTTCGAAAATGATTCAACTTGCCTCAAACTCACATCCGAGCACATCGGAGTAAAGACCATGAATCAGTATATGCTTTGAGTTAATAAATGACAAAATACATATTTAATCATGCATACCCTATATTGAAATATACATGGTATTACTTGGGTAGTATCAGAGTGTATCGGAGATTCCAAATATAAAATCTGAAAAAGTCTAAATTTACCCCAAAAAAAAGTTGCTCAACTCTTGTGCTATAGATAGAGTTCATTCTTATTATGAAATTATGTTTTTTTCGAGATTGTAAATTTTATTTTAAAAGTATTTTGTCTGGAAAATGTGCAATGTGTATCGCCTGGAAGATACATTTGCGAGAGTAGCAAGCATTTTATGCTTTGTATTCTATTGTTGAATGCGGGTCAGGCTATATCTATAATAAAAACCGATATTGATAAGCACCTTTCCCTCTATATCTATTTAACACACCAACTTTCTAAAGGTGAAGATAAGAAAAATTTGAAAATAATTGCAGGCAATGTTTGTTTATATGTAGTTTATGATAAGAATGTGCGTTGGATAATGTCAGATTTAGGTAAAAGCTAATTCCGCATCGCAGATTCTTACTTATCAATGATATTTGTTTATTATGAATATTATTGGCATAAACAACTTTGGCATAATTTAAATAAAAATATTATAAAAATCCCGGTTTTCTCAGTATATTTGTCAACACATGGACTCCATTCAGCTTCTCCAACTCATAATAAAAACAAAAGAGTAGGCCACGCCGAAGATTGTATACCCTTGTTGACATTTTGCCTTTGCCAATATGTGAAAAAATTACTTGGAAGCCTGAATACAGATATTTCCTCTAGTGCAATATTGATATTGATATTGATTCATCGTGAAGCTATTAAATGTCGTGTTTTCTCAAGATTTTTGATTTTATTTTTTTTTTTTGAGGGATTAAAATTCTTTTATTTTCACCCGACACAGTGGTAAATTGGCGGAAAACGATTATATGAGAGTTTTTTGTTTGCCGTCCGATCGGTTTCAAACTCATTTTCAATCATCTTTGAGAGAATTTATTTCACACGTGCCACGGTCAAGGTCTCTAGTAATAAATAAACGTACGTACGCAAACATTTGTTAGCTAGTGTTATCAGCGCACATTATCGCTCTCTCTCTCTCACTATCTGCCTGGGCTATTCTCTCTGACTGTTGGCGCTCTCAGCAGAGGCCGATCTCTCTCTCAAATGCCGGCCGTGCGAGTCAGTTATCATCAGTCGATTTGCGGCCCTTCCCGTTGCCAGACGCATCGATTTTTGCACTTCGCAACGGAACGAAGAGTAGGAGAAAAAAGGGGGGCTCGCGCGGGGAATGCTTTTTGGTGTGTAGCGTGTTTGTGTTGTGCTCCGTATAATTATTTTTATTATATGTTTTATTTGTTTGTTGAACCAAAAGCAGCTAACGGCCTGAAGAAGTTAGACGAAATAATTTGCAAGAAAAATGATAATTAAAAATAAATTTTATGGAGTCAGCTCCGGCCGATTGCTGGGACTCGGCCTGCTGCTCGGCGTGCTTCTGGCGGGGCGGGTGGCGGGCGATGCCGTCGAAGTAATTGAGCTGGGCAGCAATTGGAGTCTATCTAATCAGAATAGCTGTAAGTATTGGCGAAACTTTTGGCAACAAAAGCTTGAAGATTGGCGCTTATCGCATTGCATTGCATTATCGGGATCAGGTGTTCCTTGACTTAACCTGAAGAGTGTCAAAAATTTGTTGCAGCCTTTACCCGACTGCTTAATCTGACGCTGCCCTCGGGCATATACAGCGCCTTTCCCGGCTTGTTGCCCAATGTGCTGGATGGCTACAACGATGTGAATCTCCGCTGGATGGCCTACGACAATTGGACGTACATCAATGAGTTCAAGTGTGAGTGCAGCTTTTCATAAATCCTCCCTAATCTATAATCGAGATTCGTGCAGTTGATGTGGAGCACTATAAGCGCGTGCGCAGCTTCAATCTGACCTTCCATGGCGTCGACACCGTGGCCGAGATCCGGCTGAATCACCAGCTCCTGGGCCGCACGGACAACATGTTTGTGCGCTATTCGTACGACGTGACCAGGCTGCTGGAGCAGGAGAATGTGCTGGAGGTGGAGATCACATCGCCCGTGTGGGCAGCCCTAGCCAGGGCCAGGGCGCTGAGCGCCGCGGAGCGCAGCGTGCCGCCGGACTGTCCGCCGGAGCGCTATCACGGCGAGTGCCATGTGAATATGCTGCGCAAGATGCAGGCCAGCTTCGCCTGGGACTGGGGACCGGCGGTGCCCTCGATGGGTCTGTGGAAGAGCGTCCACCTCGAGATGTACGAGGTGGCGCTGCTCCGTGATGTCGATGTGGACATCAGCCGCAACGAGACGCACTGGAACATGCACATCAGCTGCTACCTCGACGCCCTGGCCAAAGAGAACTTCAACGCCCAGATAGTCTTCTATGCCGTGTAAGTAGGTAGACCTTGACCGGGCCACACATGACATGATCTTCTCCATGCTCCCAATGTGCCTGCAGCGAGCTGCTCAACCGGACGGTGGTCATCGACACGCCCGTCAGCTACTTGTCGCCGGTAATTGTCTTTGATCAGGCTGTGCCAATTGTGAGTACCGCCCGCTAATTGAGCTGATTGGCAACGATCAAGTCAAGTGCACGCTTTGTTTTCCAGGCGCAGGTCGTGCCCTGGTGGCCCAATGGCCATGGCGACCAGAAGCTCTATCCGCTGCACTTCACCCTTAACGCCTGGCTGGGCTCCTCCGGACCGGAGCTGCGTGCCAAGACCAAGTCACAGAAATCGCTGCGCGTTGGCTTTCGCACATTGGAGCTAATTGAGCGTCCAGCTCCGGATGGGCGAGGCAACACTTTCCTGTTTCGCGTCAACGGACTGGAGATCTTTATGAAGGGCAGCAATTATATACCATCCCACATATTGCCAGAGAATCAGACCTCCGAAAGTGGTGAGTATGACAGTCGTAATTGATTATTATCCATTCTGGATTTGGCTTTTTATACCCTTGAAGAGGGTATTATAATAAGAACAATAGGTCGAAAAGTAGGTTTATATATGAAAAACTTTTTTGTTTATCAAGATATCTTGACCAAACTCGGCATTTATAAGTTTCACTATGTTCCCTACCTTTATGCAAAATCTTATTTACATCGGACCACTATATCATATGGCTGCCATAGAAACGATCGGTCGTAAAGTAGGTTCTTGTATGAGAAACTTTTTTGTTTATCAAGATATCTTGACCAAACTCGGCATTTATAAGTTTTACTATGCTCCTCATATATATGCGAAATCTTAACAACATCGGACCACTATATCATATAGCTGCCATAGGAACAATCGGTCGTAAAGTAGGTTCTTGTATGAAAAACTTTTTTGTTTTTCAAGATATCTTGACCAAACTCGGCATTTATAAGTTTTACTATGTTCCCTACATTTAAGCAAAATCTTATTTATATCGGACCACTATATCATATAGCTACCATAGGAACGATCGGTCTAAAATTAAGTTGTGATATTGAAAACTTTTTTATTTTTCACGATATCTTATCCATACTCGGCCTAAACTATTTTCCCTGTGCTTCTTAATTACGGGCAAAGCATGTGAGCATTATGAAAAAGTTGGGTCTGCAAGAGTATTAAATCTTCGGCGTGCCGAAGATTGCCCCTCTTTCTCGTTGTTCTTATGACAACACAATTAAGTTCAATTCGATTCGAGGTCTGACAAATGAAAGCTCAGCAATTCAAATATGCCTGTATGTATGTGAGATAGATTTAAGCTGATCGGTTCGTTTTAATTGATTGAAGGTTAATCCTGGTATTTACGTCGGAGATGAGTTCTTCTACAGCTTTGACAAGGCAACGTTTTCAGTCAGTCAGTCAGTCATTCAGTCAACCAATCAATCATCCAATCCAGGTAATCAATCAGTCTGTCATTCCGTCAATCAGTCAGCTAATCAATCATCTATCTAATCAATCAGTCAGCCAGTCAGCTAGTAAGTCAGTCAGTCAGTCAGTCAGTCAGTCAGCCAATCAATCATCCAAACTAGGATGTCAGTCAGTCAATCAGTCTGTCAATCAGTTAGTCAGTCAGTCAGTCAGTCAGTCAATCAGTCAGTCAGTCAGTCAGTCAGTCAATCAGTCAATCAGCCAGTCAGTCAGTCGTCAGTTAATCAGTCAATCAGTAAGTCAATCAGTCAGTCAGTCAGCCAGCCAGTCAGTCAGTCAATCATTGATAATGTTTACATCATTGCAGTTGGCTATCTCTTGGAATCTGCAAAGGAGGCGCATATGAACATGATACGCGTGTGGGGCGGCGGTGTCTATGAATCGGACTACTTTTACGATAAGGCCGACAGTTTGGGCCTACTCATTTGGCAGGATATGATGTTCGCCTGCGCGATGTACCCGACAACACCCGAGTTTCTCGCCTCGGTCAACGAGGAGGTGCGACAGAACGCGAAGCGATTGTCGCATCACGCAAGTATTGCGATCTTTGCGGCCAACAATGAGAACGAGGCGGCTTTGGTGCAGAATTGGTATCATACGTTGGCGGACCTGGATCGATTCAAGGCGGAGTACCGGCAGCTCTACCTGGGCAATGTCGTACACGAGCTGAAGATTGTGTCACACAGCGGACGACCCGAGCCGCTGGTGTCCTCGCCATCCAATGGCAAGGCCAGCGAGAAGGACAACTACATCTCGGAGAATCCACAGGACGAGCACAATGGCGACGGTAAAAGCATCCAACTACTTGATCAGCTAATCCCTAATACTTTCCGCTTTTAGTGCACTTCTACGACTACTTCAAGGATGCCTGGGATCCAAATACCTATCCGCGTCCGCGCTTCGCCAGCGAGTATGGCATCCAATCCCTGCCCGGCGCCTACGCCTGGGAGCGCAGCAAAGGAGTTGGCATCGAGCTGACGGAGCTAATGGGCCATCGTCAGCACCATCCGCTGGCCATGGTGCCAATCACGACGCAGGTGTTCCAGCACTTTCCGCTGCCCCTGCCCGAGGACAAGGACTACAACCAAGCGCTGATCTACTTCAGTCAACTATCACACGCGATGGCCACCAAGGTGGAGACGGAGCTGTATCGCAGCCTGCGCGACACGGACCACAATACCATGGGCGCACTCTACTGGCAGCTGAACGATGTCTGGGTGGCGCCCTCCTGGTCCGGCATCGATTTCTATGGCAACTGGAAGGTGCGTTCCGCTAAGCTGAAGTCTCCATTTAATGGATGCTAATCCCGCTCTCCGTTCCCATTGCAGCTGCTGCACTATTGGGCGCGGGATTTCCTCGCTCAGATTGCCATCGTGGCGCTCTTCGATAAGCCCACGGGCTCGCTCGAGATCTCGCTGGTGTGTGACGAGCCGAAGGTGGATACGACACACCTGTCCGTCATTGCCAACATTCATCTGTGGTCGCAGCTGATGCCGCGCCAGTCCAGAAACTGGACGGCCACCCTACGTCCCAACGGCGTGCAGTACGACAAAGTTATTCCCATAAAGGATTGGCTCCAGGGCGAATTCAATGAGCACAATTCCTATTTCGAGTTCCAGCTGCGTCGCGATCAAAATTTAATCTCTCGCACCTATTTCTTTCCCAGCAGCATTGCCAGCGCTGTGGGCATCGCCGATCCCGAGCTGGAGGTGAGTAAACCCCGTTCCACTTGAGGTAACACCTGCTACACACATTGATTGGCCTCCTAAATCGTGCTTATACTCTTTGTAGAGGGTACTTTCATTTTGTCATGAAATATGTAATACACAGAAGGAGACATCTCCAATCCCATCTCCGACTGTTCCACCTGTCCGTCCGTCTGCCTGTACGTCTTTCTGTTTCTATGCAAACTAGTCTCTCGATTCCAAAGCTATCTTCTGGAAACCTTGCATAGGTCCGTATTTCTGTTGCAGGCAGAACATGTGTCGAAATCGTCTGGAATGAACCATTATATCATATAATTGTCATAGGAATGAATGCTCGAAAAGTAGGTTCTTGTACGGAAAACCAGGACCAAACCCGGCATTTACTAGTTTCACTATATACATAAATATATGCGCCGAATCTTATCAAGATCGCATTCTATAGAGCTACTATAGAATGAAAGAGTACAACTAATGTTAAAGTTGTTGTATGGAATTAGATACTTTTTTCCAAGATATTTTCACCAAACACAGCATTTAAGAGCTTTTATATCATACGCTGAACCAGTGTATAATATTTTCTTGATTATATGTTCAGAAGATGCTATGAAGATCGTACAAAAAAAAACATAATTAAGGAAGAATAAATTTCCCGTTGGATGGTTAGGAGAAGAAGAAGGGCGTCTATATCTTAGTATTTTTATGTACAGGTATAGGTGGAAGCTGGAATGTTCCTAGTTGGAAATGCATTCTGGGATTGATTTCGTGTTTATAGTCACTTACCCAAGCTTAAGGCATTTATTCGTAAGCAATGAAATTTGTTTAATTTTGTAAAGAACGGGGATAGATATGAATTTAACGAAATATTCTATATCCGCGCGTACTATACGAGATTTATTATTTATTATATTCGACCTCTTAAAGGAGCCGAGATGTGCATAAATAAATAGGCAAATGTCAACTCCCATCGATTTGATAGAAACGGGACGATTCAGCGATAACTTGAAATAAATAGATATATCTTTATATATATATATATGCATATATATTCTGTCTGCCTGTCTTTCCGTGTGTCCGTCTGCCTGTCCGGGACATAATATGAGAACTAAGATCCTCATATAGCACACGTACTTCTATTTATTTAAATTTATATTTATATTTTAGTCGGCCACTCCCTAATAAAGGAACATGCCATTAAACCATATATATTTCCCTTGTGCTACACACAATTATGAATTGTTTTTCAATTTTGTCACATAATGAAAATATCTTTAATCTTTAATCGTTTATCTTGCCCAGTTCGACATCTCGTCGAAGACCTGCGTGGATACGACGAGCGGCAAACGGAACAGCATCAGCATCACAATCACGGTGAAGCGTCCGGCTGTGTTTGTCTACCTGGAGCTGCAGATGGCCTATAGGTACAAGCTGTCCGAGAATGGTTACATGCAGACGACGCCCGTGCACGTGGTGCATGCGACGATCGAGTCGAGTTCCTGCATTCGCATTTGGCGCAAGGCGAACGTCAAGATCTGGACCGTGAATCAATTCATGCTCTAAGCCGTAGGGGATATACTTTTAGCTTTAATGCAACATATATAAATAACTTAACGATTAAACAAATCAATAAATGTAATGGAAATATTTAAGTACGGCGTAGAGTGTCGCCGGACGGAGCCGCCTATCTGTCGAAGCTGGGCATCTGGACGCGCGGCGGCGTGTAGCCCTCGGGATATGGCACCAGCTGGTTGTTGAGGACGCGCGCATTGCGCCAGGTCTTCACCCGGTCCTCGGCCGTGTCCGGCACCCGGACACCCTCGATAATTTGCACCGCCGGCCCATCCACCACGCTGTGCGTGCTCTGCCCGATGGGATTGCGATGCGGACTACCCTGCGCTGGCGTTCGGCGCGAGGGCGTTGACGAGGGCGCGGCCACGCCCGCACTGGCCGTTACGACCACGGAGTGCGGCATATAGCTGACATACTTGGATTTCTGCGGCAGGGAGTTGTAGTTGTGCTTGGTGATCAGATTCTGCGGGGGACGCGAGCCACGCCCACCGTTGCCCGGATAGGCGCGTGCATCGCGGCCGTAATAGTCCACCTGCTCGGAGCCGGCGTACTGCTGGTCACTGGGAAAGCTGAAGGGTCTAGCCTCGGCCTGGCGCAGCACGCGCGGCTGTGCCTCGACGGGATCAGCATAGCCAAACGGCTGCCACTGGCGCTCCACGACGCTCGAGTAGTTGTTGTTGTTGTTGTTGCGTGTTGTTGGCTGCGCCTGGAAGTAGACTGTTGGCTGCCAGGCTGGGCCGCTGCCCAGCTGGCGTCCTGTGCGCAGCGCCTGCTGCTCGAGCGCCTTGCTCTGCGCCTTGGCCAGCTGCAGCTGTATGAACTTCGCCTGTCGCTGCTCCGCCTCCGCCTTGCGTTGCCGGTAATCCTGCTGCTGCTGGGCCAGTTCGCTCTGCTTCAGCAGCGCCGGCGTATGCTCGAAGATCAGCTGGCGAGCAGCCGGATTGGCTTGGCTTCTGGCCTGGCCGGCAGCTGGCCGCTTCACATCGGAGCTGCGCACAAAGAACGAGCCGGCCGCCTCCTCGGCACGCGCCTTCCGGCTATTCCGGCCCACCAGAATCTCCACATTCTCGCCCTGGCTGGACTTGACGCTCACCACGCGCACCTTGGCCGGATCCAGATTGCGTCCGAAGCGCAGTTCGGTGCGCAGCAGCGAAGGCTTTCCCGTCGCCATCCCGTTCTCATTGCTGCCCTCTGCCACGCCCATCAGGAGGAGTGCAACATAGATTATGAAAGCCGCCGCGGTCACCCTTGGAGTCGTCGATGTCGCCATCTCTTGGTGCGTCTGCTGTGAAATTGGTGCAAAAATGGTTCCAAATTAGTGAGAGTTAATTGTGTATCCCAAGTATATAAATTTACGTGTGGATGGGATGGTTGAGTAAGTGCACCCAGTCATAAGTTTCTCGAATTCTTTAACAACTTTTGTTGCTATTATAATTTCATTGTCAGCGAGTTCACCCGAGAACTGTAAATTAACTCTATGCTGGCTATATATTTATCAGATTGGGGCTTGGATATATACAGTACTAGCGGGTATAACCCGCTAAATAAATTTTCTCAAAAAGTGTTGAAAAAGATTTTGATGATAAACAAAAAAAACTTTCATACAAACGATTTCCGCCAATTTCCCACTGTTGCGGGTGGAATTTCGCAAATCGCGGAAACACGTATTCATTAAATTCTTATGCAGAGCTTTGAAAATAAGTTTGAAGCAAATCGACAAAAACTTTAAACTTCACCAAAAAACAAAATCTTTCATTTGCACTTTCCACCGTGAAAGCTTTGATTTTGCGAAATATGTGAAAGACGTCTCAAATGATTTTCCATTTCAAATGATTCTTGGATATGAATTTGAGCGCGAAACGTCAGCCACCAAATCTTCGACCTCCATTTCCACCAAGAAGGAATGAATTTTTCGAAAATTGTGAAACACCCCGCAAATGAATTTGAACAACGATCTTTGACAATGAGTTTGAGGCCGATCAGATGGTAAACTAAAAAGTTTCATGCAAACATTTGTCGCGATTTTTCCACACTTGCGGGTGGAATTTACCGAAAACCAAAACGTAAATAGAGTGAAAATTTCAGCTTACTAGCTTTTACGATTTGGGCTGTGCGTTGATCACCAATCAATCAGCCAGCCTGTCTGTCAATCAATCAGTCAGTCAGGACAAACAGGTTTATATACAGAGATAGTATATTATACTAAAATACTTAGACTATTTCTATGCAGTTCTTCTTAAAATGTTATGGGCCTAATTCAATAACAACTTCTTTAATTAATAAACCAAAGCAGGTAAAGATTACGCAATAACTATGATAACAGCGCTTTTTACTTGAAAAGTAAATCATTATTAAGTAAGATAAATGTTAATCAAATTTTCCACAGTCAATGTTATGTTTTGTAATACAACCAAAAGGCGTTGTGGGTTAGATCCGATTAGTGTCGTGAGAAAAAATATTTTAAAGATTTCAACTTAATTTGGAAATTAAAAATAAAACAATAACTCATCAGTTTAAGGCAGGTGGGAAAAGCCCTTGTTGATAACGAGAGCGACGCGAGAATAATTTGTGAACTTAATGCCAAGCAGATCAAAAGTTCTCGCTCGTTTTAGTTTTTCCAAGATTTTTGATTAGATAGATCGACTATTTAAGATGTATTATTATATATATTACATGTATTACAAAATATTACATATATTATAGATATTGAATATTATTATTATTTCATTTTTTTTTATAAATGTTTATTGTATTGGATCAAAAATTGCATACATTTTTATTAGAACACAGTTGGCTTAAGTAATGTTTCGCCAGTATTGATTTTTAATATAATCATTTTGTCACAAAATATGTAACGAATTAAAGAAGACATCTATAAGCCCATAAAGTGCATATGTATTGGATAGTCGAGTCGGCCAGCTCCACAATATATATATATATATATATATACATGATTCAATATATAATGCATCCAACAATGGGTTAAAAAGTTTGTTCTAAATGAAAAACATATTTGGTTCTTACAATATTCTCACATAACTCAGCTAAGACAAGCCTAACTATGTGCATTATATATATAGACAAAAAAAAAATATATATATATATATATGGACAAAAATAAAAATATATATGTATATAGACAATATCTTATCAACAACAGTCGACTATATCATACAGCTGACAATCGGGCGGAAACTGACTTTTCGAATGAAATCATCAATGAATGGCTAATGTATTAATACATATATCACAAATACGATGTATGGCTAATGTATTAATACATAATGTATTAATACATAATAAATGTATTAATAATCACTAATACGATGTATGGCTAATGCATTAATACATATATTACAAATATGATGTATGGCTAATGTATTAATACATATATCACAAATATGATGTATGGCTAATGTATTAATACATATATCACAAATATGATGTTTGGCTAATGCATTAATACATATATCACAAAGATGATGTATTGCTAATGTATTAATACATATATCACAAATATGATGTATGGCTAATGTATTAATACATATATATTACAAATATGATGTATGGCTAATGTATTAATACATATATCACAAAGATGATGTATTGCTAATGTATTAATACATATATCACAAATATGATGTATGGCTAATGCATATCACAAACCTGTCTCATTGCTGCAAGAGTATTTAATCTTCACTATTCCGAAGGTTTCCCTTATCAACAAATTTGTTTTTAAATGTTTTTGCGCACATTAATCGTGCATCAAACCCCTTGAAAATGAATTCGATTTGATAAAGCCGTTAACATACTAGCATTATAAGACTTAATATTTTGCAAATAATTAACTAAACAATATGAAACTAATCCTAACCCATCTGATCCTAACAAAATTCTTACTAAATTTGGTCTAATAATTAACAACATTATTGATAAAACAAACATTAAAACTAATATAATAAATCGATTAATATTAATATCAGCTCGTATATATTCTTTTCTATAATAAGCAATAAGCTAATGAAGTAATTATTAAAACAAAGGATATAAATAGTAAACAAATCAAATCAAATAAAAAAGTTATAACAAATGATATTGGATTTTAGAGAAACTACTCTTTCCTTTATGCATGTAGGAAGTATGCTTTTCCCATTTACAAAATTTGAAGATGCAACAAATTAGGAATTTATTTCATTATTAATAAAAATTAGTTAACCAAAATATGGCATAAATTGTATCTATGCATGAATGGAGGAAGCTGAGTGCAGGGTATGTGCTAGTCGTGCACACTCAAGAGCGATCACTTTTACTTGTCCTTGTTAGACTTTATGCGGATCTTGTGGCGGCGCTTGTTTATGTTTTCACACCGGTTAATTAGCCCGGCCGACTCGTGTTGTTGTTGATTTCGGCTCATTATTTTGCCGGGCCGTGATGCTCTTAATTTAATTATTGACAGCCATCCAAGCAGCCAAGCCGACTGACTGCATCTATTTTTTATTGCATTTAATATGTGTGAGTGTGCGTGTGTGTGTGTGTGTGTGTGTGTGCTGGGCTCAGAAAGCGAAACAGCGATTAAAAAACTGCAATGCTTAACTTTCGTTTGTGGCATGAGGAAATCGTCGGTTGCCAGTTGCCAGTTGCCGGTTGCCGGTTGTTGCATTTAGCCAGCGACAATTCCGAAGTTTGCAAATGCCACGCCCCATTCGTGATTGATATCGCCAAAGCCAGCGCCTGTTTGCCTCACTCGGAGCACTTTATGCCTCGTTGCAGCCAGCTGCTGCATTTGCACCTGGAGCAATCTTTAGCTAAACAGTTGTCAAATAAAAAAAGTTGCCTCCACGCACACGCTTATCTAAAACAGGAAGTGTTCCCCTTTGAGCAATTGGACTTATGTGTGCTCTCTATAAAAAAATAAACAATAATCATCAAAAGATTTGTCATATTTGAACGGTTCTCAATTGTAAACTCTGATAATGATAAACAATTAGGCTTATTATCTTTCAGTCTTAGCTATGCCTACAGAATTAGATTAGAAACAGTTTATTGACCCGATGTCTAATTAAAACAATAATTATCTATACAAGCGACAGTAAACATTAAGTAGTCACAAAATATTTGTTAAATTTTGATTGTCACGAACAAATATTTAATCTACGTTTATTTAAAAGATAACGTTCTTTATTGAACAACATTTATTATGCGTGGTTCAGAACTCAGCTGATCGATAATAATTGTTTACGTTATGGAGGCAGCCCATGTTGATGTAAATAACATTTACGATATAAACAACATTTATGTAAATAGCATTTATGTAAATAGCATTTATGTAAATAGCATTTAATTAAAATGTAAAGGCCATGCAAATTTCTCAATTTTATACATTTACTCATGAAGTTTCTGACAAATTAAATAAAAATAGATAAAAAGATAACCTTTGCCTTTAAGATATACAAATGCTTTTATCAGGAGTTTGCACTAAAAGTTTAATTACAAATTGGCAGACAGATAGAGACAGGAAATATCTATATCTACCTATAACGACTGATCAAGCCTAACTAGTAAATGTATAATATATACCAGATAAATAGAGATAACGACTGATCATGCATATACATATATAATATATAATATATATCGTATCAGTTTGTATCAGTATCACCCATAAATTACTCTTCTATCCGAATTTTAACGAGCCTAGCTCTGCTCTAATCTGATTAATGTTGACTCGCAATCACGCCTCGCGGGCGTCACCCAACCCCCCCCCCCCCCCCCTGCCAATCAATTTGAGATAGGTAACTACGTATTTAAGTGTTGCGGCAAAGATTGATGGTCGATGGTCGCAGGACCATTTACCGCAATTTGCGTCTGATCAATTGAAGTTTGGCCTATTGATTGGCTGTATAATTGGGCTGAATGAACTGCGATATTACGCATACGCCGCGTAGCGCTGCCAACGAGTCGCTAATGAGTGAAAATTCACCGACAAAATGAGAAAAACAATTAAGCGAATTGTGAATTGTGATTTGCGAATTGTGAATTGCAATTTCAATAAATGCGCACGGCAAAGTTCACGGCACGACTACGACTCGGCCAATCTGGGTAACCGCCGTGCTGTGGTGCTGTGCCTGTGCTCGTGGCCCAAACTCTCTGCGACTTGTCGACTTGCCGACTTTCACTTTCAACTCAAGCTCGGCGCCGGCGACGCGGCTGAGTGCACCGCGCTCCCAGCTGAACCGCTGACTGCGTCGTTTTTGTTGTTATGAAATCGTCGCAATCATCGCGCTCACACTGTATCAACAACAACAACAACAACAAAAACACGTTTTACTTTTTGCACAACAACAACAACAACAACAACAATTGAAGAAAAACCAAACAGAAAAATAATAAAAAAGAAGTCAACGCTTGCTATTGAGCGCTTGGTCTCTTTTTCTTTAAGCCTTTCTTAAGTCTTGGCCAGCGTTTTTAGGCCGCTGGCCGCTAACAGCTGCGTCGGCGCCAGCTGCGACGCCACCGATCTCGGCTTCAATGTCACGGCGCAGTCGCGGCCGACGTCGACGGCGACGTCAACTGGCGTTTCGCTTTTTAAAGCTTTGCCGTTGCGTCTTCATAGCGTCATTTTTTTTTTTTTTGTTTTTTTTTTCGGCCACTTTTGTTCAATGAAAATTACATCATTTCAAGTTTTGGAGCGAAGCGAGACAGGAAATGCGACTGAAACATTTTAACAGCGTCTGGTCAGCGTCAAAATCGGTGTCATAGCCCTGCGGGTTTGCTCCGAAGTACCGATGTTGAAATGCAAACTGCAATTATTATTATGTATGTGCAATTTGTTTAAGTTGTAAATTTGTCTGTAGTCTTTTGTGGGTTTTTTCCTCTTCATTTTTAAGCAGCTAACTAACATGACTAACTTGTCGGCTGGGGTTACCTCTGCTACTACTCAAAAAAAGAAGAAAAAAAGTCGCTGCAACTACAAACGTTTATCATTTACATACAAGACATCGAGCCGCGACAGGCGGCGCACATTTAATGATGGGCTTTCTCACTCAAGGCGTGCCGTTTGCCATTAATTGGGTATTACGTTTATCGCAACAAGCAATTGAGCGCAATTGCGGGCAACTGTGATACAAATCACCGACGACTTGTTCATTGACTCTTGAGCTTGAGCTTGAGCTTGTGTCGGCTTCTAGCGTTTCAGACGAAACAAACTCTCACTTTTCTTGCATCAGCAGCTCTTCTAGGGCCCCCCGCGTCCGCTTGTCAGTTTGTCAATCAAACGCTGGCAACGCTGCGCGCATTTTCAATTGATCTGGCAACAATGACTGCATTCAAATTACGCATACGCCCTCACATAGGCAATAACGGCAGCAGCGACTTCCTCTTCTCCTTTGTCGCTTTATTCGCGCGTGGCGCGCTGCATTCACTGCATCTAAATCAGAGTTGCTGTGGATTAACGACGCCCAATATCAAGCCAAAAATCGAACAATTGGTGCTTATTGTTATCAGCGATTGTTGTAATGTATCTATGCTGTTTGTTGTTGTCATGTGCAAAATGCAAATGCGCCCGTGCGGTTAATGTAATTTATTATTGTTGTTATTGTTGCTGTTGTTGTTGATGTTTGCCGGCGTTGTATTAATTTCACTTTTACTTTTTATGATTAACATTTCCCACCCAAAAGTGAGAAACTTTACATGATTTTTTTTTTTTTTAGTTTTTTCACTTAAACATATTTGTACTTTTTGTTGTTACTGCGGCTATGAAATGTGAAATTTGAAAGATCGTAAAGTTTAAAGATGCTGTAGCCCTTGCTTGTCTCTTGACTGGCCTTTTCTTAAAATTAATGCTTTTTACTTATGCTTGTTGTTTGGTTTTTATTATCTCTTTTTATTTTTTTGCCAGCATCTTTAATTACACGTGCTTGTTACTCAGCATTGGCAGGCACTTTCCGGCTTAGGATGAGCGTCCGCAGTCTACGGCTTGGTGTATCTGTATCTGTATCTGTTTTGGCTGCTGGATTTTTGCGCCCAAGTGTCGCAACTGAAAGTGAAACTTTTTACTTTCGGACATATTTGATGTCTGCCAAGTTAAAGTACCGTGGGCTTGATGGATAAAGCTTGACATCCAAAATATTATCTACAAGCATTCAGCTACTGCCTCACACCATTAGCCCACGCACAAATGTGGCAACAAATTTGAACCTATCAAATCTCTTGGGCTTTTAAGACCCTTTTGTATCAGACGCCATCAATGTCATGGAAAATATCTTATATCCGTACATGTGTGGCCCTTAACGCTTTTTCAATACCTCAGAGATTATGTTTTGACAGCCAAGTATTTCTGTCAATTGATCTCATAATTGAAGACGTATTTAATGTTCTTTGTAGTATATACGATATTCGATAAAAACAATTTAAACCAATATTAAATTTAACTTTGCCTTTCATTAAATAAATGACTTGGCCCCATCAAAAAGCAACAGAAACTCACATTATAATTTTGACGAATTCGAATTGAAATCTCGTCTGTTAACTAGTCCAATATTTGCGGCTCCTTAACGTCTCAGAGACAGCAACAAGCGGCTTTTAAATTGTATCTTTTGCTTTGCGAACGAACAGACGAAATGTGCGACAGATCGCAACGCGAACCGAAATACAACTGAACGCAAATGAAAAACTTTTGCTTACAAGTAAAAAAGCATCGAGCTGGAAAACGGCAGAAAAAAAGTAAAATTATTATGCATACATACATACATACATATGTGCACATGTCTGTAACTATGTGTGTTTGGAGGCCGACACCAACAACGACGCCGCCGCAGCAGCAGCCAACAAACGCAGCGAAGGCAACGGTAACACACACGTACACAAATACACAAACACACACACACAACTAACTAACTGCGACGTCGGCAGCGGCAACAGCTGGCCAAAGAGACTGAGTCGCAGACAAGGGACTCAGACGGAGCTTGAGTCGGCCAAGCGCACACAAACAAGAGCTGAGCAACAAATGTGGAGCGAACCGGGGGAAGGGGTAGCTGCAGACCAAAAGCCAGGCAAGCCATGCCAAAAAAAAAAGAAACAACAACAATGCGACCAAAATCAGCGAACAATTGCGCAATTGCAAGAGCAGCCCACAACAGAAAAAACACAAAAAGCACAAAAAACGACGAAGAGCGAATGCAGAGATCAAAATTTTACTCACAATATTTCATTTCTTTTTTTGTTTTTTTTTGTTTTTGTCTTGCCCGATCACAAGTCAGCGACGTTTGTCTCGCATCAGCGAGAGTGCAGCTGATTTGGAGATTGGTTAACTGTGATTTATCTCAGATTATTTATGTATATCATGGGCAATTCACATTGGAATCAATTTTTGCCATTAACTAACATACATATATCAAAATGTGTGTGCATATCTGTAGTAGCTTATGGCCTATACTTAAACGAACACATATCTTCCTGAGAGTTCAAAAATTTAGTGATATTTTAAAAATATCAAAAATATTCAAAAATTATAGATCTAGGTAAAGGGGTTGCCTACGGGGATGCGGGTTTGCGATCTACTTGCCAGTTATATTTCTTAGGTTTATAATATGGAACTATTTCTTATTACTAAAATAATAGTTATCATAGCCATACATATAAGGTGATCATTAAAATGCGCAGAATATAATTCTATAATTCAGAATATAAATCCTTTCTATTCTATATATACAAACCCAAATACATATGTATATGTTAATTCATGTATGTTAAGTTTAAACCTAAATACATATATGTTAATCAATGTATGTTTAGTTTAAACGTCTTAATACATTGCTTTAACATATTATAGATTAATACGGACGAGCATATACATATCTGCAGTAAAATATATTATATATTGGGTTTAATGGATTTCTATGTCGTTTAAAAAATGTTGTATGAAGTTGAACCGGTATTTTTGCTCGTGATAATTAGTTAATAAATTGAATACGTATTCAATGATATGTGAGTATTAGATTCAAAGAAACAGTCATTTTGATCAGTCGATGTTGTTTTTTTTTAAATTAAATAAAAATTTCATCAGTCCTTATTTAGATAATTTATTGAATAGAATAACTGCAATTTTAGTATTGTACTACATTTATCTAACATTTTAATTATGTTAGACTATTTGATTTTTAACATAAGAGCACAAAAGAACATAACATAATAAATCTGTTATTGTGATCTAATAAAAAATAGGCTTTATATTTGAAAAAAGCTTACAGATTTGTCATACTTGGTTCTCAAATATTTTCTGGGTAATAAAACTTGATTAATCCAGGACTTAAGCTTAAATTATGATTAGTTGAGATTTGGGAGTGACAAAGTGCCGTTTGACGATAAAGCGTCATCGACGGGATCCGCCCCAGGCACAATTCTTTCCCTCCGCCCCGCTCAGGTTGTCGCTTGTTAGATGCATGCCGTCTGATAGGGGGCAGAAAAAAAAAACAGCAGAAAATAATTGCCATGTGCCATGCGGTGGTTAACGAAAGTGGCCAGAAGTAGGTGTGTTCCAATGAGCTGTGTGCCTTGTTTAAGATGCTCAGATACAGATACACATCCAAAGCAGCCGCATCTTTCACACACACACACACACACACACACACGCACACACTTGGCCCAACTTTTTATTAGCAATTTTCGCAATTTTCATAGCGCTGTTTTTGTGTCGTTACTTTGTTGGTGCGGCTTTTTTTGAATAAATAGCTTCTTTTTTTTTAATTAAAAAAATTTCACTTTTTTGTTGCTTAGATTTGATATTAAACAGAATGAGCGGAGAATGGATGTAGTCACAGCTAGTTTGTATCTTATACTGCATTGATTTCCAGCTTGTCATTCGTATCTTGGGCTATTCTCTGGCGCTGGCGAGTCCTCAGCTGCATCTGGTCCACATCCCAATCTCGTTCGGGCACAATTGCCACGCCCATGAAGCTCAGTTGCAGGCAATTCAATTTGTACTCGAACAGCGGCTGGAAAGCAATCTTGAATACCAGGGAAATGCATACGTACAAGCTGCGATCGATGATGTGAATGTTGTAGAGCCGCAGGCAGGCGGAAACAAAAATCGGCACGACTAAGGGAGAACAAATGTCGGGTAGATTGCGCGGCGATATGCCGAAATTGGCCACCGAGCGATGATTCAGCTCGACAGCGAAATCCACGCTCAAGTCCCGTCGACTGCACTTGACCAGAACGCAGAGGCCGTCTCTCATCATGCCAAAGCCGAGACCCAGGCAACACTTGCAGGCAAAATCCTGGCAAGAGCAGGGCATGCCCATTGTTGGCAGCTCCACTAAATTATTGCTGACCATGCGTGCAGGCAGATACTGTCGGGGCATCAACCGCTCCCCGCTCGCCGGATTATAGAGCATGAGCGCCTGGTAGAAGTGCTGCCCATTTGGCATTCCTTGGTACAACTGTGCGTATGCGCAATGCGCCAATAAAAGCGTCATCAGCTGGCAAAGTGGTGCAAGGCAACCCATTCTATTGACGACTCACGAGGTTGTGCTCCACTTGACGCACTGAACTGTCCAGTTGGCGGCTGCCTGCAAAAGCTGTGGGTTTTTCTAGCTTTTCCCGCACAATTGTCCAAACAAAGCGTGTGCTTAGCTCGCCCCCAATTCATATCATCTACGTTATTCTAGCCGCGCTAAATGGCTTGGAAAATATGATATATATTAGCTTTAATTATTGCCGACTGCAAAGCACGCGTTAAATGTGTCAATGCCGGAGATCGCATTGGCCGATAGGGCACAAACTGCACTCGGTTGGCTAATTAATGATCATTGTTTGGTTTTCCATGACATGGAAAATACGCATTTTTTTAAAGTTTTCTTGTTGTTACAATTGTGTTTGTTACGTCTGCTAGAAATGCAAATGTAACAAAATTGCACACTTGACACTTTTAAATGTGTCAAAATTACATGAGACGCTCAATTTACGCAAGCAACACGCAGCTTGCCAACAACAACAACAACAACAACAATGACAACTAAAATTAAATTGTCATCGGCATCGCAATCCGTAACGTACTATGCGGACAATATTGTGGCCGTAAATGGCTTTTAAAATCGTATTTGGCTCTTTCTTTCTTTATTTTGTCATGCATTTCACATTTGTTTGCAAGCAACAATAGCTGAAATAATAGAAAGAGTTTGTAATTTTTTTGAAGCGGGTTTCAAAACACGACGGAAATCGAAAACAGAAACTGTTTTAGCACTTAAATATGTACATAGTTAGCTTTATTTGACAAATGTTTGGACAACCTTGTATTAGTTCAAAGCCACACAAATATGGTTGGAATATTTTTGTTTTGTTTATCATATGTAAGTATACATAATTATGAGTAATTTATGTCTTGGCTAAAATGCGGGCTGACTTCACCCGCAAGGTTATGGAAGAAGCCAGAATTTAGAATAATTTGGAAAATATTAGTTGAAGGTGTAAGGTTAAAAACCCTAAGGAATAATTTAAAATATGGTCCTTGAAAACTTCGAAATAAGATACTTAAGCAAACTTAAGTCGAGCGCTTCCCGGGTAAGTATATGTCCCCAATAAAATCATTATACTATATATAAGGCAGATTCAAACTGGTTTAACTGGTTTTTAATATATAATTATAATATTCTCCAGAATGTGCTTATAAAGGGCATATGCATTTGAATGCTAAGCTGAATTTCCTTACACTTAACATAATTACTCCACGCTTTACATATTACTCCACGTCTTACAGCAAGATATTTACTGCAGAATGTTTACTGACTTCTTATGTAAATGTCTGTTAAATTACTTAAAAGTATGCTTATTTTCAGTTTATGGTTGGTTAAATCAAATTGTAAAATAAAATGGCATATTATTCTTAATTAGTACACAACTATAGCCATTTTCAACATAAAATCTTACAACTTTAAAAATAATCCTTTTCATACCCATTATCTTTGTAGACACTGTTATAATTTTGTCATGAAATTTATAACGCATTTAAGGATACATTTCCGGACCAATATAATGTCAAAAATCTTAATCAGCTTCAATAGCCCGTCTGTACGTCAGTCTATACAAACTAGTCTTTCATTTTCGGACCACTATATCATTTAGCTCTCATCGGTACGAGCGGTCGAAAAATAAGTTTTTGAAAATGTATATGGTAACTAAGACCTACATATAAGAAAAGTGTTATCATCGGACCACTATATTATATTGCTGACATGGGAAAAATCGGTCAAAAATTTGGTGCTTGTGAGAAGAAATTTCTTGCTTACGAGATATCTTGAGCAAACTCGGCATTTATTAGTTTCACTATGCTATATATAGTCAAATCTTATCAAAATTGAACTACTTTATCATACCAAAGCTTATTTTTTTTTAAATATCTTAAGCAAGCTCAACAATTACGAGCTTCGCTATTCTCCTCACATATCTGCAAAACCTTCAGCCGTCAGTGTTAAAGCTTAAATTTGATGTACCGAATATATCCGTTTCTAGCTTAAATTTAAAATTTTGTAACGGCAGTTATACTGCAACCGCTGTTATTAACAGTTCAGCAAATATTAAATTGTGTGCGCTGTTAAATGCACTGTTAAGTGAACAGCTGACCATTTTTGTCCGTCCAACTCAGCAAAAAAAATACCAGAACAGAACTAATAAATACCAAACCAACGCAGCAATTTTTGTTGTGTCCGCAGCGAAAATGTTTAAACTCGGTTAAAATAACAAAAGCAATATAATTAGCTCGCGATACAGCAATCAAAAAGTTTGATATACAACATAGCATTGTTAGTCTGAGTAATATGGGCGATTTCTTCAAGTCGCTGAACTTCAACTACTTTAACACCACATCCAGCTTGAGCGATGCTGGTGTCAATGGGGGAGGAGGCGGTGGAGGAGGAGGAGGTGCCAGCAGTGCCACAGTCAATAGTGGCAGCCTGGACAACGATTACGTTGGGCAATGCATGGAAATATCTGGCCAAAAGCTGCGAACGAAATGTGTCATAGCCGAAGGTTAGCAAAAATTCAACAAAATACGGAAAAATAACAGTTGCTCAACCATCGACAAGGGCATAAAAATCAATAGGAAATGGAGTCCAAAAAGGGACTGCAATCGTCAGAAATTTTATAATTACAATCATAACTGGCGATAATGACATCTCAACGTCATCGACGGTCACTTTTGTTCCGCTTTCTGATTTTCGCATTGAAACAGAATGGAAAACTTGTTGCTTTGTTACCGAGAATAAGATGTGCGCTAACAGTCATGTTTGTTGTGCATTTGTATTGGTGACCAAGTTGTCAGTGAAGTTCAAACGTTCTTCGCCAGTTCTTTTGACCCATCGTGACTCATGTTGCCACAAACACACACACACACACACACACACACACAAAACAACAACTCTCAGAATTTTTGTTTCTCAAACAATGCATATTTAATTATATAAATGTCTGTTCGGGTCATTTGCCGTAATGGAACGCCCCCGCTTATCAGTGTGTGTTGTTATCAAACATTCCCCCTTCTCTTTGCAGGCGGCTATGCATTTGTGTACGTCGCGCAAGATGTAAAAACTGGCACAGAATACGCCCTCAAGCGGCTGATCGCCGCCGATCAGCAGGCCTGCCGCGCCATCAACAATGAGATTAGCGTGCACAAGCAACTATCTGGACATGGCAACATTGTCACTTGCATTGGCTCCAGCTGCATTGCCCCAACGTCGCAGCAGGGTGCACAGTTTTTGCTGCTAACCGAACTTTGCAAGGGTAAGTGACGGCTTTGCCAGTGGAGCACTCTATCTTCTATATATACATGTTCCTTAGGTGGCTCTTTGGTGGACTGTTTTAGGACGGAAAATGTTGCGCTCGATCCGCCCGTTGTCCTGCGCATATTCTATCAAATGGCACGCGCCGTTGCCCACATGCATACACAGTCGCCGCCCATAGCACATCGTGATATAAAGGTAATCCTGAAAATTGGATTGATTAAATGCAACTAATTAAATCTGTATATTTCTTACCATCAGATTGAAAATTTCCTTATTGGCAATGATAAGCAAATCAAGCTCTGCGACTTTGGTTCGGCCAGCAAGGAGCTGCTGGCGCCCACATTTGAATGGAGCGCACAGCAACGCAACATGCTCGAGGATCAGCTGAATACGGTGACAACGCCCATGTATCGGGCGCCCGAAATGCTGGATACCTGGTCGAACTATCCAATTGGTCCTAAGGCGGATATTTGGGCACTGGGCTGCATTCTATATTTCCTGTGCTATCAAAAGCATCCGTACGAGGATGGCGGCAAGCTGCGCATCATCAATGCCAACTATATTATGCCACCTGACTCTCGTTATCATTGCTTCCGTGAGATTATAAAGGGCTGCTTCAAAGTGAATCCAGCAGAGCGTTACGACATCTCCATGGTGCTGGAGCGCTTGGCGGCCATTGCAGAGACACACAACTGGTCACTCAAGGGACCGTTGGATTTGCGCGGCATGCCTATTGAAACGTCGCCAGCTGAGAGCCCGGCGAGAAGTGTGCCCGAAGTGAGCCAATCCGAGTTCTATTGTGACAATCCAAATCCCACGGCAACGCCCTCAACATCTGCCAATATGCCACAAGCTGCGGCCGCTGGTACGAGTGCCACGTCCAGCCATGGCAACGGGAGCTTGCTTTCCTCGCTGCGCGGTGGTGCGGGCACTCTGTTCAAAAACTTGAAGGACACCTCAACCAAGGTGATGCAAACCATGCAGCAATCCATTGCGCGCAACGATCTGGATATAAGTCACATCACTTCGCGTATTCTGGTTATGCCCTGCCCCTCGGATGGCTTTGAATCCACATACAAAACGAACAACATTGAAGATGTGCGTCTGTCGTTAGAGAGTCGCTTTGCGCCGCAAAAGATAAGCATTTATAACTTTGGGGCACGGACTGTGCCCCGCCTGCCACCGCCAGTGCGCACCGTGGAGGCGGGCTCCGTTTACGGCTGCCCACAGGCGCATGCACCCAATCTGCAGGTAAGTCTGGAGATGGAGACACACTTTTGCGCCAAACATTTGCAATTATCATCTTGCGTATTTTGCAGGGCCTATTCACTGTGTCAGCGGATATGTACAACTTCCTAAACGCGGATCCCAAATCTGTTGTCATTGTGCAAACTGGCGACTCCGGTGGCTGCACAGCAGCCACTGTCATTTGCGCTCTGCTTATGTACGCCGATCTGCTGCACGAGCCGGAGGATGCGGTGCAGGTGTTTGCTGTTAAACGTCACACCATCAATTTGCGCGCCTCCGAGTTTCGTTATCTCTACTATTTTGGCGATATTCTACGTCCGACACCTCTGTTGCCGCACTACAAAAACATCAATCTAGTTTCAATCAGCTGCCAGCCCGTGCCGCGCATGACAAAGGCGCGTGATGGCTGCCGCATTTACATGGAGGTTTACTGCAACGAGAAGCTGCTGCTCACCACGTTGCAGGAATACGAGAAAATGCGGTAAA